GATTATAAAGAACCCAATAGTAAAACGGCTAAGAAGAAACATTAGATAGCTAATAAACCCATGAAGAGCATCTCAACATTATTGGTGAGCAGAGAAATGCAAACTAAAACCACAAGACCATTTTATATTCAATCAAGTAGGTTGATCCATTAAGATCTATTATACTTTGATAGAAAGAGTACAAATTGATATAACCACTTTAGAAATCAGTTTGGTACTACAACCTAAAGATGTCTGAACCATTATCATATCCTGTAACCAGCCATTTTCTCCCTTAGGATTATATCTTGAAGAACTCTGCAATCTACCAAGGACAGTTACAAGATATGCATTAGGCAATGTTCACAATAACACAACTTGGAAAACCCAAACAACAAAATGGAGAACTGAAATGATGAAACTATGACATATTCACAAAACAAAATATTACACAACAGTCAAAACAAATAATCTAGGCTCTAGATTTAAGAGCAACAATATAGATTGTAGCAATATACTAAATGAAAAATATTCCAAAAGATCATACATAGAATGACATAATTTTAACAAGGTTCAAAAAAACTAAAAATTATAAATATGCCTTTTAGGAATTTGTTTATATAAATCTATACACAAAGGAAAGCAAATGTTGATGAATGCAGGGATCAAAATTATAATTACACTGAGATATGAGAGACAACTAGATGAGTTAGTGGGTTACATTAATATAAATTAAGATGCTAAAATGACTAATTGTTGTGGTTGGTTCACAAATGTATTACATATTCAATATTTGTGAGGCAGAGTCTCACTCTGTTGCCCAGCTACAGTGTCAGCAGCTAGCTCACAGCAACCTCAAACTCTTGGGTCAAGGCAATCATTCTGCCTCAGCCTCCCAAGTAGCTGGGACTACAGGCATTGCCACCCACCATGCCCAGCTAAATCTATATATTTTTAGTTGCCCATTAATTCTTTCTATTTTTAGTAGAGACAGGGTCTCACTCTTGCTCAGGATGGTTTCGAACTCTTTACCTTGAGCGATCGCCCGCCTCGGCCTCTCAGTGTGCTAGGATTACAGGCATGAGCCACTGCCATATCTAATAATGAATAAACATTTTTTAATCAAATAATTTTAAATAGGGTCATGAAACCAAAGACAATGATTTAGTGCACCTACAGGCCTTTTAAAAAAACTCTATTTTTAAATAATTATATTTCCAAATATACAAAATTTGGGATTCGGTATTGCCAAATGTGCAGACATTGAAAAAAGTATCAACAAACTCACAGAGTATTATAGTTGAATCAATCAATATACTTTATTTATATGATGCCAAGAGCTTAGTGTGACTTTTTAAACAAACTTAAACATTTTTGGTATCCTTTTAATAAAGCTTAAAAAAAAAGCTCTAAAGTTTTAAAATATGCTTTTCAGAAAGGGTCTAATTTATCATATAATACTTTACAATATGTAGCACTATTAAACCATACTTTAAAACTTCCCTTTAATATAAAGGATTTAGGGAGATGTATGTAATGAAGAGATAAGGCTAGACTGAACTACCACCATGATTAGATGAACTTACTTTTACTATAACTTGAAGAACTTTCCTTGCGACTCAGCTTAAGATAAAGTTTGGTTTTTGGTTCATTATAAAACTCAGGATTAACGGTAGTAAACTTCTTTAATTTGCCATACTGTCTTGTCTGAAAATCAAATCCTTTTCTAAAAAAGGAATAAAAAATAAAAATTAATTTTATTATTAAGGTTCAAAATTTTAAAAAAATATTTAAAATACAGTATGAAAAGAAAAGAATCAGTGTTCTGTATGTTTATATACTTTCATACATGTATACTAAATACATTAAATATATTCCATCAAAGCAAGAAAATAACCCTCACAGAATTGTCATCAGTTTTAAGAAATTGAGATCAAAAAAGTATCTAAAAGATACTACTTTCTACCATTCTACTCTCTACCTCTGTGAGATCCACTTTTTTAGCTCCCTCATTTTCATTTTTAAAAAATTTTGTTGATAGATAATAGTTGTACATATTTTGGGCATACATGTGATATTTTGATATCTTTATACAATGTGTAATAATCAAATCAGGGTAACTGAACTATCACCTCATTTATCTTTTCTTCGTGTTGGGAACATTATAAAACTTCTCTTTTGGTTATTTTGAAATATACAATAAATTACTCTTAACTATGATTTCCTGCTGTACTATCAAATACTATAATAGAATTCATTCCAACTTTTTTTTAATCCCTTAACCAATTTCTTTGCATCCTCTTCTCTCCCCTTCCCTTCCCAGCCTCTGGTAAGCACCATCTTACTCTCTACCTCTTTTTTAGCTCCCACACTAGAATGGGAACATGTGGTGCTTGTCTTTCTGTGCCTGGCTAAACTTAAAATAATGACCTCCAGATCCATCCATGTTGCTGCAAATGACAGGATTTCATTCTTTTTTACAACTGAATGTGTGTACTGTGTGTGTGTGTGTGTGTGTGTGTATGTATGTGTGTGTGTACCTCCATCCCACACTTTCTTTATACATTCATCTGTTGATGGACACTTAGATTGATTCCATGTCTTGCCTATTGGAAATATTGCTATAATAAACATGGCAGTATAGATATCTCTTTGAGATATGGAAGAAATATCTTCCATATATCTTTTCATTTGGATATATACCCAGCAGTGAGATAGATTGCTGGATAATATGGTAGCTCTATTTTCAGTTTTTTGAGGAACCTCATTTTTTGTAAATAGGTATACAACTGTAAAATAGGTATAATAACTTATCCTCATTATCTCTACATTTTATAGGTTATTGTTATTATTACATGAAATAATACATGTAAAATGCTTAGAAGAGTGCTTGGCATATATAAGCAACCAATCAATCTTATTATTAAATTACTGTCCAAATGGTCATTATATTTACTTTTTGAGTAATTTTACTTTTATAAAAGACATTTCTAAAAAGTAGCATTCTATTATCCTATAAACTATGTAGTTCAGGCTTGTGAATGATCGCCTCTCTATCATCCTACACTGCTAAAAATTATTCTTGTAGCTTGTTCAATAGGGCTTCCCTTAGGATTATGAAGAATAGCCCTGACTAAACATAAAAATGGTTAGAAAAATAGCATCCTGCCAGTTATCCTTATATGGCTCATACTGCTTGATGTTTAGAGGGAGCCAAAATGACTTTAAAAACTTATTCCCATTTTATAGTTATAGAAATGGAGGTACTCTATCTTTTAGATACTTTTCTTATCTTAATATCTTTTAAAACTGGTAATAATTCTAAAGGTTGCTATTTTCTGATATAATTACAGGCAATTATTTGGTATCATAAAACATACCTCACCAAAAGCTGGCATTCCTCATAGAGTGGTATCTTTTGACTTCTTAAGTACAAGCCAATACTCTTAATATCACTTAAAACCATGCTAGGGAGAGATTCTTCCTGTGTTAAATATCCTGGAGTTGCTTCCTCAAGCCATTTAAAAAATTTACATTGATCAGCTTTGGGTCCATCACATGTATAAAAGAGACGACCCTAAGCAGGGGGAAAAATACTAAAACTTAATGGGAAAAAATGTTTTTTTAATTTTTCTATTATTTTTGCATTATGTTTGTCAAGGTTTTTATAAAGACTGCTTGGCATTAATGTACTCTAGTAAATCAGTAACTATACAACTTAATTTTATTATTAATTTTAATAATAAATTAAAATTTAAAATTACCTATTTTTCCATTTACTTTCTCTTTATCAAAAGATTACATTATTCTAAAAATAAAAGCTTATTTAAAAATTTAACAATAAATTTAAAATTATTATTTTTCTGATTAAAAATTTTCACTGTAGACAACTTGAAAGTTGCCCAGAAACAACCACTATCTTATACATTTCTTTCCATTCTGTTTTTCTCACTCACATAAGTATATGTAACATACACATAAGGACAGACACATGTATATAGTTTTTCTAAAAAAATAAAACTCAGATAATACTTTTCTGCTGTGTAACCTAACGATTATACCCAACAACATAGTATGAGCATGAAACTATATCATCAAATAATCTTAAAAATAAAATAAAAATTTTTAGTGGCTATATAATATTTCAATTTATAGTTATACTGTTATTTATAAATTCTTGCTTTTGACAGCTAAATTTAAATCCAAATTGACACACTCAACTAATGATGAAGTGAGATATGCAAAGAGTGAGATATGCAAACAGTGGAGGAAAATCATATTATTATGAGTGAAAGCACAGTCTTCTGAGTACAAGCCATATATCAACATATGTTTTACTCACCTATTTCCCCAATGATACATCATCAACAATATAAATTCAGTCATTTAAATGCTTTTCTATTCCTCTGGACTTATCTGTTACTCTGGGGAGTAACTGGGGAGTACATAGTAGACTGGTTTCAACCTTCATTTCTTTCAGACTCACATCTTCATTCTCTAAGCTCTCAGGCTGGGACATATTCCCCTTCTCAGTGTCTTCACTGTAACTTGGGCATGTCCCTCCTACTTACCAATTACAGTAGGATATAAAATTTTCTTTTTAAGCATTGTTTATGTCTACTACTATGAAGTAAGTTCCTAAGCAACTCGAAAGTTAACCTTAACTCATATTTTTGTATCCTGGAACACAGATCATTCTTTCAATAAAATTTATTGACAGTTTACTATACATTAGTTAACTAATACCTCAGATAGAAGACCTAATCAAGACTCACTTTTAAGCTTGTCATAAAGAAATAGGTACCTAAACTTTTTATTAGACAAGTACTGGTCAGATGGGGACAAGAGGATGCAAGACAATACCTTATTTGGACCTTCCTTTTTAACCATGACAAGTTTTGCAGGTTGATTATGATGGCAGAATGGTACATTATTTTCCACATTTTTCAGTTTCTCTCCTTTCGATGATGTATAAAATGACATGTCAACTTTTGAAAGAGCTTTGTGCAACCTTTGTGCCAATCCAAATAGCAGTATATTTAGATGTTCTACCAAACAAAAAAGATAGAGACAGCTTAAAACTAAAAACAAAATAATCTTATGTTTATACCACCTATGTGCTGTTTTTTAGCTAAATTTGAAAATAGTCTTTTAACAGTCTGTAACATAATACTAATAACCATTTTTTTAAAAGGCAAGTCTTGTCCTTGTACCTTAAAACAATTGGACCTAATCATGCATCATATTTAAAATTTTCCACTTACTTTAACAAGGTCATTTGTAACAATTCTAGTTAAAAAAAATGAAAAACTATAACTTTAAAAAGATAATACTGTCACTTCCTACTTTTAAAACTCAATTTTGATCTGAAATTAGAATAAAAGTTACTATCAAAGACTAAACATGGAAAAATAACAAATCTCAAATGGAGAATTTAGTATGAAAATTCACAATATAAGATATCATACTTTTTCACAATTCTACTACTTAAATTAAGCAGCAATCAATCATAATAAAATAAAAATATAATAGTCATACCTATGAGACAAGATGTAAAAGTCTGCTTATAATGAGCAGGAGACTGAAAAACAGCTGGTATGTGAATTTGCCTTTGGGGAAGATAAGCAGATTTTATTTTTTCCCTGCTTGGGAAGCACAGCTCAGAGCAATTTATCTCCTGAAATGTAATAATTCAAGTTATTTAATATTATAACAACTCCAGAAAAATACTGTTTACTAATGAGTAAATTATTTTTCATAGATATATTTAAGAAAATATACTAATTTTTCTTTTAGTTTCTAGAATCCTTAAAAATTATTTCCTAATTTTAATCTGCGGAAGCAGGTATAGCAAGAATAGCTTTGCCTAGCACTTTTAACACTAAATAAGACTAACTTTTCTTAGTTAGTCTAGTAAGTTTTTAAATAAGTTTTTAATAAGTTTTTAAATAATTTTTGCTAGGAAAAACTGAACTGATGTCAATGGATCATTATGAATCTTTACTTCTGGTTATGACTATAATAAGAATCACTCACAACCAATGTGTAATAAGATGTACCTTTATTCTAATAATGATTTGAACAGCAAAACTCAGCTGACAGTCAAAAGTATAAGCAATCATTGTTTAACAATAGCAGAAGCAGTGGTGGAAACAGAAATAGGAGCTATCATTTATTAAGTACCTATTATGTGCCAGACACTGCACCAGATACTTTGAAATATATCATTTAATTTAATGTTCACAATTGCTAGGAAAGATTTTAGCCAAAGGAGATGATGTGACTGTAGCTTGAGTTTTGGATCAAAAAAAGCCATCTGCTCCAAAAATAAAATTGCTCCTACACAATTTTGGTAATTCTTTGTTTGAAATTCAGACAATAACTATTGGGAAAAATGTACCAAGAGACTGGTACATACTCACCTGTAAATCCTTTATACTGTAGGTGTAGCAAGCAGACCCTCCTAACACATTTTGAATTTCTTCATTCTTAGAAGTCTGCTTTAAATTCAAAGAAAGTGCTTTCTTTGTGGAAACCAAATCTTGACTGCTAAAATCCTGCTGCTGTTGATAAAGCATGCCTTTTATCATTTGCAAGGGCACAGAGTCTAAAGAGCTTTCATGGATAGCATCACTCTGTCTTTCACCTGTGTTGCTAAAAAGGCTGGTTGCAGAACCAGCCTCAGCAAAGAAGCCATCAGTTACTTTCTTATCAACTCTGTTTGGAGCAGTCAAGTTGCACTGGGATGTGTTTTGGTATTTCAGCCACTTGCTTTGAGTAGATGTATTATCGAGAAGTGACACATCCCCTCGAGTCACTTCCCTAGATTCTTCAGAGAAAGAAGTTTCACTTTGGTCCTCAGGCCCAAAGCTAAAAAAAGGAACTGAGGACTCTTCACACAAGTTGAACATGGGGGAAACAGAAGACTCTTGTGTATTACAGTTGAACACATGTGCACAAGAATCTAAGTCAGGTGGCCCATGAGTTGGTGACAAAGTAATAAGTGGAACCTGGCTTCCACTTACTAATGAAAGCCTTTGAAAGTTCTCATTCTCCAATGAACTGGATTTTTTCATTCCTGAAAGAAAACAGAATGCTGACGAAATTAAAACGTGCCACCAGTTATCATCCAGGCTTTAGAAAACAGTGGGTATCTATACAAAAGCAAAAAGTAGCAACTTGCCCTGAAAAACAACACATAATTTTATTTCCTTTAAAAATAATTGTTTCAACCTCAAAAAATAAAGTTTTCAAAAACTCAATTCACAGACTAGAACTTTTTTGAGGTTGATGAACTTTGCCAGGATCCCACAACAAAAAAGTGGGAAACAAAGAGGTTATGCTAAGGTCAACCAATGATGGTGTTGAGACATTCACAAGTCATTCCCCTGGGACAGAAAGGGACTATAGAGGGGTCAGGCTCTGGACTTATAGCTGTGAGATGTATGGACAAGAATGGAAGACACTTTCAGAGGTCTGTGATGAGAAAGTTGGGAAGAGAAATAGGAAGGAATTAGAGAGCTAGAAGGGAGTATTATACTTGAAATAGCTATCCATAATATTATAGAGAAAGTTAAAAGGAAAGGTAATGGGAAGGCTTCAAGGGGATGACACTGAATCTGGTTCTAAGATATATTTAGTTTAATAATAATCTCTTAAATATAAAGTTTCATCTTACATGGACAGACAGATATTAGAGTAATATGGTAACAACTACCCTCTAAGTTGAGAAAGTGAAGATCACCAGGTAAGGTTCTTGCTTTCAGGGACTTCTCAGATAATTCTAGCATGAAATCTTCATCTCTTGAGTTCAAAGAAAACGTAGAAACAGGGCTCAACACAGAGATCTTTTGTTCTGGTGATGTCGACTATCCAGAAAGAAGAAACAAAGCCTCAGATCACAATATTCTTATTGCATGTTTTCCCTATAGTTTGGATGAATTCTAGTAATCTATATTATAAAAATAATGATTTCAAGTACATTTTATAGAGCTATAGCATGGGAAAGAATTATAAAACTTCTTCCACAAAGGATAGAATAGAATAAACTCACTAAAACCAAGAATAGAAAGTCAAATACAGAACACAAAACCTTTTGAATTTATTTGAAATGGGTCAGATTCTGATTTAGACTGATCTGGGCTTTAAGGATTTGGTTCTCAAGATCAACTGCCATTTTTATGGGGCTCAGGCTAAATCAGACCTCATGCTTGCAGACACTAAGGTCTAAATTCCTGCAGACTCAAGGACTGAACAGTTTTCTCTTATGTCCTCAGGTCTGGGGTTTATCTACAGCTGATTTAAACTTTAAGATATTGCTCCCAAATGCAGTGAACTTTTTAAACATATCCCAGACATGCATAGCCACATAATTCACTGTTATTCTTATTAGAACAGCATTTAAGTTTGCTGTTGCTTCTTCTAGAAATTAATCATCTTAAAATTTAATATCATCAAGTTTAATATATACATTTGCATAAGCACAGAATAAAAGAATAAAAGTTTGGAAAAATACTCACCAAACTATTAAGAGTGGTTTTTCATGGGAGTAGGACTGGGGGAAAGGCTTCTTCTACTTGCAACTTTATACTCTTTTGAATGGTTTGAATTTGTTAAAATGAATATGTTTGTGTGTGTATGGTTTTTTTAAATACGTAACAATAAAGTTTATATATAAATTTGAAAACATTTTCTTGGTTAGCTACTAGGTTCCAGGTGCTATGTTAGGAACTAAAGATGTGAAAATGAATACTCGTGATCTCTGTACTCAAGTTCAGTCTAGAGTAAGATATAGACAAACAAGTGGGAAATTATAATACGATATCATACCATAGAAATAGTTTTACTATATTACTGAGTTCTTACTATGTGCTAGGGACTGTTCTAAGCATGTTGTATTTTTAACCTATTTGATCCTTACCAAAGCTATATGAGGTGGGTACTCTTCTTTATTTTACAACTGAAGGAACTGAAGAAAAGCAGTTCCTTCAGTTAAGCAGTTAAATTTGCTTAATTCATCCAGTCTATAAGTGAGAATTGGGATTTAAACCTAGCCAATCTACACTGTATTGCCTCTTTATTAAAAACAACAGATAATAGGCAATACTTACTGAGTAGAGTATTCCACTGTGTTCCCCTACTACATTCTCTACAAACTTGCCAGAGTTCTTTGTAAAATGTAAGTTCAGTGATTTCACTCCTTCCATCAAAACCCTCCAATGGCTCCCAATCTAGCTCAAAGTACAAGGCAGCTCTTACAATATCCTACATGGCCCTACCTGATCAGGCCCTTACCTCCTCTTTGACCTCACTTCCTATCACTACCCCCCTCACTCACTCACTCCATGGCAGTCTCCTTGCTGTTCCACAAACTGGCCAGCACTTTCCTGCCTCAAAGCCTTTGCTATTCTCTGTGCCAGGAATGCTTTTACCCCAGATATCTGCATGGCACTGTCCTTTACTTCACCCAGATCTCTACGCCAATGTCATCTTCTCAGAGAGGCCTTACTGTGCTTACATAAAATAGAACTCCATCCCTATCTGCACTCCTATCCCCCTTACATAGCTATTGATATATCATTCTCCAGAATATTTAAAACCTTCTGAGGTACTGTACATTTATTTGTTTATTGTCTGTCTCCCTTCAACAGAATGTAAATTCTGTGAGGGCAGGATTTTGCCCAGGAATTTGAGGTTGCAGTGAGCTATGATGACACTACTGCACTGTAGCCTGGGTGACAGAGTAAGACCAATTCTCAAGAAAAGAATGAAAAGGTAAGTAAACATCAGGGAAAATATTTTGCAAAGCATATAACTGACTGTGAGTATATATCCAAAATATATAAACAATTCCAACAAATTTTTAAAAAGATAAACATATCAATTAAAAAATAAGGGACAAACGTGAACAGACACTTCATCAAAAAGGATAAAGAGATGGCCACTCAGCATACAAAAAGGTCCCAAACTCATTGTCAGGCAGGAAAATGCAAATTAAAACCACAGTAAAATACCACTACATACCCACCAAAATAGCTAACATTGAAAACAACAACAACAAAAAACCTGTCAGCATCAAGTGTTGATGAGGATGTAGAGTGATGGGGATTTTCATACCTTCCTGATAGAAATGTAAATTATCAAAACCACTTTGGAAACCAGTTTGGCATTATCTACTAAAAGCAAACATATGCATATCCAGTGAGTCAACAATCCTATTCCTAGATAAAATAACCAGCAGAAGTGTGTCATAATGTATATGTACATGTTTATGACAGTACATGAATATTCACAGCAGCATTATCTGTAATAATCTTCAAATTAAACAACCCAAACAACTGAAGAATGGATAAATGGGGGTGTATTCATATAATGGAATACTATACTAGCAAAGAAAATGAATAAACTAGAGCCACAAGCAAGAACATGGGCGAATTTCAAAATTGCAATGTTGAACAAAAGCAATCAGACACATAGAATACACAGTATTGATTACATAGTATATGATTCTATTTATTTAAAGTTTCAAAAGCAAAACAAATATATGGCTTTTTAAGCCAGGATAGTGGTTATCTTTGGAAAGAATGGAAGCGTTAGTGATTGAGAAGGGGCAGAAAGGAAGCTTCTGGGATATTGGCAATGCTCTATTTTTACAGGTAAGAGGTTATATGGGTATGTCATTTTGTGGTAATTATTGAGCTGTGCACTTACGATGTGTGTGCTTATTTTGTAGGTACATCATGCTTTAAAAAAAGAGTAAAAATTTTTTAAAAATCTCTTTGACAGAGACTATTTCAAATACATGCATACCATTCTGACTCCATGACCTTTATTTTCATCCTCATGGATTTGCCTTTGGTAGCAACAAGAAAAACTCAATGTCATACTTAGAGAGAGAAGGGAAATATTAGAAGAAAAAAAAATCTACTAGCTGTTAAACAGATGAGTATTTTCTGCGTGTAATCTACCTATTTGTTCTTGTTGAGAATTCTTAGTCTTCTCTGAAATGAAAAGTAGTTTGTTAAACTCCTGATCCTAAAAAGGCAGTAACTCTTCCAACTAAAATATTCTTGTCTTATTAGTTTGATTTGAATTATTATGCTTCTTGTCAATTTACTGTACTCCTTTTTAACTTATAACTGTACAAAGACTTAACTGTACTATCTTTATAAAATCTGGTACTGACATAAAGAAAATGATTTGGAAAAATACAACTATAAAAATATTTTTACCTGCAAGAAGTCAATCTGCATACATGTGCTAGGCAACTCTGGTGTCAAAAAACAAGTGTCTGCCATGTAGTTTTCATACTCAGTACTGTCTGGAAGCTGACTGTATCCTCGCTGTGCACTGTGCCCTCTGATCATCACACCACTAGTGGCGGATCCTTTCACTTGATGCCCTTGAAACTCAACAGGCTACAGGTAAATTATTAAAAATAAGAACTGCATGTGTATATATTGACATATATATCCATTCACAATGTCTATACACAGAATATAATATATAATTCAGCTTTTTATTATACGTTACTTAAATAATTACCAGGGGACTAATACTGAAAACCAGGAAATACTCCCATTATCCCAGAACATACATTAAGAGTAACTAATTTAAACTGTATCAATTTATGTACATTCAACATTAAAAGTATGATTTTTTTCAATTATAAGCATAAGGATGAACATAATAATAATGACTAAGCCAGATTTAATTGCTCCTTTCTCTATGTTTCTACTACATGTGACACAACTATACATTACATACAATATTGCCACTACAGACTGGTGACTTCATACACCAGTGAAGTTTCTCCTTCCCTAGATACTAATTGTACTGGAAGCTCCTTGAGGACAGAGCCCTTTGGACTTTTTCTAGGTATCATGTGTATTCAATGCAGTGTTTGGCATACAGGAAGCAATCACTAAACATGATAATACAAAGGGAAGAAAGATGCAGGATGCAGGAAGCATTTTTCTTTGCTTAAGGGTTTTATAGACTATCAGGCTTAACTACACGATGGATGGTGGGTTCTCTGCCTCCTAGTAGAAGATCTGATATCCTACTGTTCTGAGAGCAAAGGCCTAAGAGTATGATTCCACCACAAACAAACCTCAGAAGGAGGTTTTCACCCCCTCAGAGATGGTGCTTGCTACTTTGCTTTCAGGCTTCAAATGGCTTTCTCTGCTGCCCCCTTGAGGGTGCTAGGATTTCTCCTCTATCCAGGGTAACAAAGCCTACCCGCAAGGTGGAAAAAAAGACTGCTAAGACAATCAAAGAAATGTAAACAAAGGATTAATTTATTTCTAACTGATGAATTAACAAAAAGGCAATAATATATCACCTGAATATACCTACTAGAAAATGAAGATTCTAAGTCACATATTTGAAAGGAAAATCAAATCTAAATGTCCCTTTATATAGGATTTTCGCTGAAAATATTCTTCTGAAGTTAAAAACATACACTTCCATAAAAACAAGTCTTAACTCTAAAAGGTTCTATTTCTGCTTTGTTTGATGGGTAATACATACACTCCCCACAAGGAAACAGATATCTTGTCTTCTATGCTGCCATGGAGATCTCTTCCAGCGGTATGTTGGGTTTTAGGAGTAGAATCACTATTTACAAAACCCAACCATTTATATGCTGTTTGTCAATGTTTGATGTGAAATAGATAACACTATTTAGAGGTTGGGATACAAATACTTCCATATATTCAGTCAGAAGTAGAAGTGGTTGAGGAGGCTATAATAAGTTAAAGGCTACAAAGATACCCATTTTGTTCTCCCTAGAACATCCATCAATTGTACTCTACATAGCTTTTTGTTCAACTCCTAATGTAGCCTATGTATGTATAGATACTGCATACACTGCATGATTAGCTCATTAGTAGTACAGAGAAAGTTCAAAAGAAAAAAAAAAGCAGAAAAACACAGCTGGTCAGAAAATCAATATTCTTCACAAATTTTACCTTAGGGTCACAGGTTTTTCTCTCTATTTGTTTAGAAATATCAGCTAGAAAAGCAGTCTCTTCTTCACTTCCCAGGGAAAAGAACTAGAATAAAATATCAGTAAATTATCCAGTTATCTATCTAGTTAGCTAGAATAGTTTTGTAGGTAGTTCATCATTTTGATAGAAAGGTACTTGTGAAACTTAAAGGTTAAGTTTGCCCTGTGAAAACATACTTGCCATCTCCACCTTGCTTCTCTTTATACATACATATAACAAGCTATCCCTGGTAAAGGGGTGCTCTAGCAGATACGTCATTATGCTAATAAACTTGAAAATGCAGCATATTAGCCAATTCTGATTCTAAATTTTTAATTAAATCTTTTGACAGAAAAAACGGTTGGGTACATAATAAATTACCCATCAAACCTAATACTATATTAATGCAGATCATTTAATTAAAAAATCAGTAAGAAATTAAATGAGGAAAAATTGTAAACAGTATAATGGTCTATTTAAAGAATGAATCATCTTTTATCAATTGTAAAACACATGATATTGACAACAACAACTAGTCATTTTTAGTTCAAGTAACATAAAAATAACCACAATTTTTAATATGAATTGGACAGACAAAAAATGAGTTCAATTGCAGAAGTAATTTTTGTATGCTTAAAAAATATGTAGATTCTAAGGAAAATCAATCTTTTTTTTTTTTTTTAATTGAAAGAGTTTTATTCTGAGCCCAATGTCCGAGACCATGGCCCAGAGAGCTACACCCAAGAAGCCTTGCGCAAGGGGTCCCATTGTGGTGGGGCGGGTCACAGTTTAGCTTCATACATTTTAGGGAGACAGGAATGACATGTAAAATCACAGATGGATATAGGAAAATCAATCTTAAGATAAAAAAGAAAAAGAAATATGGGGAGAAAACATTTTCCCAAGAGACAAAAGAGGTAAAGTAGTATATTTCTCCAAATAATGGTCGCTTTCCTCTAATAACACTATATATAAGCACAACTGTCAACCAAGTAGTTCTTGAAAATATTCTACATATTTTAAAATCCGAATTTTCTGATATAATGAGTTTTCAAAGTTAATTAGCATCGTACCTTCTCTGCTGGAATAGCTCCTTTGCTCTGCACAGCTAATCATACTTATAGAAATAAAGCAGAGGGGACATTAAGTGTATCTTCAAAGAGCACCCTAAGTTTTGAAAGTTCCTTCTATCCGACGTACATGAAGATGTGTCAGAAAGTTGTGGTAAGAAAAAACCATTACAAAAATATAAATGTACTCTTATTTTAATGCTAAAAAGATTTAAATAATTTTTATTGCAAAAGATTGTAAGAGTTTTTTCATTACTGTGGGATTACAATAAATTTTTGTTAATGTGTGGTATTTATTTTAAATGGCAACTCATTCTAGAGACAAAAAACAATGACAATGTTTATTTGCACTTTAGATTTTGTGAAAACTGTCCTTAAAAAAGTTTAAACCTTACTTTTTCAAGTGAAAAAAAAAAATAAGAAAGTGATCATCCATAGGCTAAATTATGCAGTTGCTAGTTGTTTATGATTTTATACATTTGATTTTGTTACATAGGGTAAAAAATGGCAAGCTACCACAGCACAGATGTTTTTGTTTTAGTTTTCTGTTTTAGGCAACAGAGCTGCTTGGGTTTGGTATACTTGCAAGTTTGCAAAATTAGCTTTATGATAAGGAACATGTTATTTAACTAAATCACATTGATCATACTGGACATTTACACAAAAGGCTCATCTAAATGAGTAATTAATTACAAATGAGTTAGAAAACAGACAATATGTAATACAAACTTAAAATTATATACCATACCCATGCATGAAAATATAATTTCTGGTTATTTTACATTATAAAAAATAACTCACCTGCAAAGACCTGGGTGGTTCACTTGGTTCAACTTCATTTTCTTTTAGCATCTTAGGAATAGATATTAATATAAGATAAACCAAAAGGCAATAGTAATTTACAAAATAAAAATATAAATTTCTATTAGACATAAGAAATACAAGAATGCCATTACTAATAAGAAATAAAAACCGAAATGTTGATAAAACAGTATTTTCACTTAGCAAGAATTTAAAAAGCTCTTAACAATACTAGTAAAAATGAAGTGAAATAAATATTCTAATTGCAAAACAATAAGATTTTTACATTTGACAATATCAAGAAACTAAGGAAGTTGTTCCTAGCCTTCCAACTAATAGTTCCACTTCTAGCAATCAAATCTAAGGAAAAACCTTAAAATGCAAACAATGATTTATGTGTAAAAACATTTACTAAAGTATTATTTATAGTAGCAAAATGTAGCCAGGTATGATGGCTCACACCTATAATCTTAGCACTTTGGCCAAGGCTGGAGGATTGCTTGAGGTCAGGAATTCAAGACCAGCCTGGGCAACATAGCAAGACTCTGTCTCTACAAAAATAGAAAAATTAGCCAGGCATGGTGGAATGCACTTGTAGTCCCAGCTGCTTGGGAGGCTGAGGCAGGAAGATTGCTTGAGCCCAGGAGTTCCAGGTTGCGGTGAGCTATGATGATTCAACCACTGCACTCTAGCCCAAGCAATAGAGCAAAACCCTGTCTCAAAAAACCAAGCAAAAAACCCCCCAGCAAAATTCTGGAAATAATAAAAATGTCCAAAAAAGGGAGCTGTTTGTTCCAAAGCACAGGATATCCACAGAATGGAATGGTAAGTAACTTTTATGTTTAGAAGAGGTATGTTTAAGAAGAGTTTTTAATAAAGTGAGATAATATGATATGATACTAAGGCAAAAGGATATAAAACTATTTATACACATCATGCTGGACCCAGTGGTACACGCCTGTAATCCCAGCACTTTGGGAGGCAGATGTGGGAGAAATGGTTGAGGCCAGGAGTTCAAGATCAGCCTGGGCAACACAGTGAGACCCCATCTCTACAAAAAAAATGTTTTTGAATTAGCTGGGTGCAGTGGCACATGCTGATAGTTCCAGCTACTTGGGAAGCGGAGGCAGGAGAATTGCTTAAGCCCAGGAATTCGAGGCTGCACTGAGTTAGGATCATACCGCTGTGCTCCAGCCTGGGTGAGAGCAAGACCCTATCTATTTATATATAACAATCTAACTATATTTTTTAAAATTAGATATATAAAAATAAGCTAGAAATGTTAATAATTATCTCTGAGAGGTAGGGTAAGTTTTATTTTTTCTTCACTGTTTTCTGTATTTTAAGAAGAACAAAAATAAGATTATTAAAAGAAAAAAGAAAATAAAGTAAGATAAAAAATGGGGGCAAATGAAACATTTCACTTTCTTTTCTTGCAAACATGCCTGCTAGAAAGAGCAGTGCCATATGATGAAAGAATTGTCTCTCCAGAAGTGTTAACAGCATCCTCATCGAGAAACACTAATCTAGATGATTTATTCTAGAATTTTGGTTCATCCTAATTAGTACTATTATTTTTGATATTACTACCATGGTTCCCAAATTGCAACAAGGTACTTTGGGGGTATCACAGCAAACTTGCAAGGGCTCCACAAGATGTTTTAAATTTAAGGAAACAACAGTGACACCCAACATCTGTCTGATACTTAATGAATTAAAAACTCTAGGTAGTTCAGTTTCAATATCAGATCTCACTACCTTTCCTTCCATGACATCATATCTTTCTGAAGCTGGGTTTTGAGAAATTGCTATGATAAAAAAACAATTATCATGAGAAAAATCAATGTGGAACAAGAAATTAGGTAGTTTATCTAATCCATTCCAAGGTTTAAGAAGCTGTGCAGTGCCCAACATGGTACATATTAGTGACTGTGCTTTTTAAAAATAAAATACTTACTAAATTACTAGGACATAATTACTTATTAAGTTGTTTTAATACTACTAACAACTTCATAAATGAAACTATCAGATGTTTCTTTTAGCTGAGGGATACAGTGAAAAAATGACTGAGATACAAGAGAGGTCGTGAACCAAGATAGCTCAGGACTCTCTATAACTATAGTATCACTATAATTCTATTATAAATTATAGAACATTCATATCAACATAAAAGAATATACTGTTAGGAAAAAATGTACCTGTTGAGACTCCTGGTTTGGATAAGAAGACTTTGGTATAGCTTGTGAAACTTCTGTAGTAAATTGTTTCCTAGCTGTAATGGAGAAAAATCAAAATATTTTATTCATATTATATTAATATATAGTTATGCTCTCATATTTTTAACTTATTTCTAAAACTGAAAGAAACAGGGAATATAAATTTTAAGATGAGACAAAGTCCTGATAATTGTTTAACCTAGAGTATGGGTATTTGAGGATTCAGTGAACTACTCTCTCTGTAGGTTGAAACATTTTCATGATAAAAATTCAAAAATATTTAGAATGAAAGTCTTTTCAGTTACTATCTAAGTCAACAGTAGGATTGTTTCCTTTTCTTTTTCATTCTTTTAAACTAGTTGAAAAATCAATACTAAGCCAATAATTAATAACCTATACTAAAAATACTAAAAATGAAGTATTAACTACCATTATACTGCTATTGTGTGCAACCATTGAAAAGAAAAAGCACCTAATGCTCTTTCTAGTCTATCTTAAATCCATTTGACTATGACTTGAAAAATAAATGTATATTAACATATTCAGTCAGCAATTACAAAGTGCAGTGTTCCAAACACTGAGGAAACAGCAGTGAACAACATAGACAAAATTCCTTGAAATGGAAGGGACACAGAAGACAAACAACTAAACCAGATAAATTTGGATTGTGATCCAAATTTATCCAGTGACTCACACCTGTAATCCTAGCATTCTGGGAGGCCAAGGGAGGAGGATTGCTTGAGCTCAAGAATTCAAGACCAGCTGGGTGCCATGGCTCACGCCTGTAATCCTAGCACTCTGGGAGGCTGAAGCGGGCAGATTGCTCGAGGTCAGGAGTTCGAAACCAGCCTGAGCAAGAGCGAGACACCATCTCTACTATAAATAGAAATAAATTAATTGGCCAACTAAAAATATATATACAAAAAATTAGCCGGGCATGGTGGCGTATGCCTGTAGTCCCAGCTACTCAGGAGGCTGAGACAGAAGGATCACTTGAACCCAGGAGTTTGAGGTTGCTGTGAGCGAGGCTGACGCCACAGCACTCACTCTAGCGCTGGAAAAGTGAGACTCTGTCTCAAAAAAAAAAAAAAAAAAGAATTGAGACCCCATTTCTACTAAAAATAGAAAAAAAATTAGCCAGGCCAGGTGCCTGTAGTCCCTGCTACTCAGGAGGCTGAGGCAAGAGTATTGCTTGAGCCAAGGAGTTTGAGGTTGCAGTGAGCTACAGTGACGCCACTGCACTCTAGTCCAGGTGACAGAGTCTCACTGTATCTCAAAAAAAAAAAAAAAAGTGGACAAAAAAGACATGAACAGAAGTATAGACAGATGGCCAACAAATGTATGAAAAAATGCTCAACATCACTAATCATCAGGGAAATACAAATTAAAACTACGATGAGTTTCTCACCTCACTCCTGTTAGAATGGCTTTTATTAAAAAGTCTAAAACCAATAGATGCTGGTGTGGATGCAGAGAGAAAGGAACACTTATACGCTGTTGGTGGCACTGCAACCTAGTATAGCCTCTATGGAAACAGTATGGAGATTTCTCAAAGAACTAAAAGTAGGCCTACCATTCAATCCAACAATCCCACTACTGAGTATGTACCCAAAGAAGTCATTCTATCAAAAAGACACCTGCACTCGAATGTTTATAGCAGCATAATTCACAATTGCAAAGATGTGCAAACAACCCAAGTGCCCATCAATTCATGAGTGGATTAACAAAATGTGGTATACATATACCATGAAATACTACTCAGCCTTAAAAAGGATGAATTAATACCTTTTGCAGAAATTTGGAAGGAATTGGAGACCATCATCCTAAGCGAAGTCTCTCAAGAATGGAAAAACAAACACCACACTTACTCTCTAATAAAATGGAACTAACCGATGGGCACACAAGTGCACCGAGGGAAGTAAACATCAATGGAAATCAAGCAGGGGGAGAGGCAAAAAACTACCTAACGGGTGCAATGAACACTATTTAGGTGATTAGCACACTCATAGCCCTGACTCAAGCCATGTAATGAAAACATTTATATTCCTTAACATTTTGAAATTTTAAAAAAGCTAGTATTGTTTCTTAAAAGAAAAAGTGGATATTCAATAATCTCTATTTCTTCGAAAGTCACAAAAAAACTACAATTTTAAAGAGACTATTACTGTAAAAAATCAATAGCTATATCTGGTGTAAACCTCCTTTTTAGGTAATTGCTATTTCTGTTTCATTATTTTTCCATACAAATTGATAATAAATTAAATGAAATCAATATAAATGATTTTGGAACTTTGTTATTTCTAAAAAGAGTTTTAAAACGGCACTGAATGAAAACTGATGTTTTCCTTTATTGCCTTTTCTCCAGAATAAAACTCTAAATTAACATTTCTAAGCTATATGCAATGATCTCAGAAAAAAAATTTAACAAACTGGAGATTTTTTTTTTAACTTTCACACATTCTAAACTGGTGGTAAAATTTACACTTCTCTAACATTTTTTTTTCTTATTTGTATAAATTTAAGGGGTACAAGTACAGCTTTGTTACATGGATATATCATGTAGCAGTTATTCTTCTCTAATTTATATTAAGGTCCATATAATTCTTATATTCCAATAGGTGAAATTTTTCTCAAATTGTCTCAAGAAATCCAAGTTAATCTTTTTTAGAAAAATATATTTATATCAAAAAATACAGTCAGTCCTCATTACTCATGGATTCTACCTATTCCCTAAAATTTCTTTGTAACCCCAAAATCAATATTCACAGTACTTGTATGGTCATTTGCAGATATGTATAGAGCAGCAAAAAAAATGAATTGCCTAAAACACATCTTCTTTCAGCTTATGCCATAAACACAAGTGTCTTTTTTATAGTCTATTTATTGTCACATTTTTCACATATTTGTGCTTTCTGCTGGTGATTTCACTATTTAAAATGTCCCCTAAGAATAGTGCTCTCTAGTGTTCCTAAGTGCAAGAAAGCTGTGATGTCCCTTGTGAAGAAAACACGTGTGTTAGATAAGTTTTGTTCAAGCATATGTTAGAGTACTACTGGTTGTGAGTTCAATGTTTATGAATCAAAAACATATATTAAATAGTCTTTAAACAGAAACAGGCATAAAATAAGGTTATGTATTGATAAGTTGATGGAAATGTTCTGACCAGAGGCTTGCAGGAATCTAAACCTGTTCATTATTTGCTAACTCTGTTTGCAGTGACTTCACAGAATATAACTACCACAAATAATGAGAACCAACTGTAATTTTCTTTCCAACTTGATGAGAGAAAAGAGTAGGTTTCCCACAACTAAATTCTATAATTCCTAAATCTTCATATTAGAAACTTATGCTCATATATGCATTTACATATCTATCCAAGTTTATTTTCATTAAAGGTTTTTATTTTTATTTTTTTAAAAATAAACATTTATCATCCAACTTAACTACATTTCAAATAACCATTTGAGTAGATAAAATAATTTATTCATATTTTTCTCTGGAATCACTTGAGACATTCAAATAAAAGTTCAGCTTTAACTTTTCTCTGAGTATCATAAAGTGCTCTGTTCATTTACATTCATATATATATATACATTTACTATTATATTCTTAAAAAGACAATGCTCTTGGCAATGTACCATAAGCAAAGTCAAAATACCAATGACATACTAAAAAAAACTTTGCAACATATATTATGAAAGGCTAATATCTCTAAAAATAAAGAACTTTTACAAATCAAGGAGAATAAAAAACCAACACCCATTAAAAAAAATCTAGACAAGGCCGGGGGCGGTGGCTCACGCCTGTAATCCTAGCTCTCTGGAAGGCCGAGGCGGGCGGATTGCTCGAGGTCAGGAGTTCAAAACCAGCCTGAGCAAGAGCGAGACCCTGTCTCTACTAAAAATAGAAAGAAATTAATTGGCCAACTAATATATATAGAAAAAATTAGCTGGGCATGGTGGCGCATGCATGTAGTCTCAGCTACTCAGGACGCTGAGGCAGGAGGATTGCTTAAGCCCAGGAGATTGAGGTTGCTGTGAGCTAGGCAGATGTCATGGCACTCACTCTAGCCTGGGCAACAAAGTGTGACTCTGTCTCAAAAAAAAAAAACTAGACAAAAGGGTAGAACAGTTCATTGGAAAAAATTTACAAATAATGCTTAACCATATGAAAAGATGTTCAATTTCGGTTACAGTAATAGAAATACAAAATTGAAAAAATTTCAACTGAAATGCCGTTTCTCACTTAGTAGATTAGCAAAAATTCTAAATACACTCTACTGGCAAGGCTGTGGAGAAATAGCCACTCTTGTACATTACTGGTGGGAGTGAATAATAGCATAATTCCTACGAAGAGAACTTTGAAGTATCTAATAAAACTACACTCTATTTACCCAGCAATCCTACTTTTAGGAGTTTGCCCTAAAGACACACCTCCAACAATATGAGAAAAATCTATATATTTATACAAATAAAAATAAATATATAAGGTTATTTGTCTCATTAATTATAACAGTAAAATATTGGAAATAATCTAAATGTCCATACATAGGAGGCTGCTTGAATAAATATATAAGGTTATTTATTGTCCCATTAATTATAACAGTAAAATATTGGAAACAATCTAAATGTCCATACGTAGGAGGCTGCTTGAATAAATGTATTAATAGTACATCTACATAATGGACTATTATAGAGCTGCAAACAAATAAAATTAGGATGATGTCTGTGAACTGATATGAAGTGATTTCTGGGACATACTGTTAAGTGAAAAGAAGCAAGGAGCTAAAGAATATGAGTAGGCACATTTGGTTGAATATGTGAACCTATTTATTTTTACGAAAAGAAACATAGGTATGATACATTGGTTACCTAGAACAGGTGGGTAGGAATGGAATGCAAGGTATGAGAAAAAATCTGATATATGTTCTCATATAGCTTTGACTTTAGAACTCAGTTAATATTTCACATTGTCAGAACTAAATCAACAAGGATGGACTTAAAGCCCTCATACAAAATATAAACAATGAACTTAACTATATTTATATCAAATAATAACATTATGGTAAAGAAAAAGTAACCCAAGTAATTTTTGAACTAGCATTCTAATTCTATATTCTCAATATATTCTAAAAACAAAAACTGCAAAGGACTTGTGAACTTTATGAATTTGTAAAAGATTTTTGCTAGCAGTAACATTAGTGTGACAATTTGGAAACCATATGGTGTATACTGTAGCATGAGGGAATAAATATACTGATGCTGTTGGCAACCAGGAGACTTTCATACTGTAGGAATAACTAAACACAATTATGGAATGGAGGAAATAAAAGAAGCACCCTCTGATATAGGATTGGAATTAGAGGTATCAACATAAACTTTTTTTTTTTTTGAGACAGTCTCACTCTGTCACCCCAGATAGAGTGCAGTGATGTCATCATAGCTCACAGCAACCTCAAACTCCTGGGCTCAAGCCATTCTCCTGCCTCAGCCTCCCGAGTATGTGGGACTATAGGCACATGCCACAACACCCAGCTAATTTTTCTATTTTTAGCAGAGAAAGGGTCTCACCTTTGCTCAGGCTGGTCTGGAACACCTAAGCTGAATGATCTTCCAGCTTGGCCTCCCAGAGTGCTAGGATTACAGGTGTGAGCCACCGTGCGCAGAGCAACCTCATTATTTAAACAATATATACATATATCTCCTAGCACATGTTCAGAAATGAATGGCAAGAATGGATTATCACACACACAGATATACACACATATGTAACATACATATTTATATATATATATTTGCTTACAAGTGCTGATATATGTTTATATATGCGCAGACTATTTCTGGAAGGATACCCTAGGACTGTGGTCCCCAACCTCCTTCCCAACCCCACTCCCCCACATGCTAGCCACACAGCAGGAGGTGAGCAGCAGGCAGGTGAGTTAGCAAATCTGCTCCCCATTGCTTCTATCACCACATAAGCTTCTCCTCCTGTCAGATCAGCGGCAATGGCATTAGTCTCATAGGAGTACAAACCCCACTGTAAATTGCGCATGCGAGAGATCCAGGTTGCTCCCTCCTTATGAGAATCTAACACCTGATGATCTGAGGTGGAGCTGAGTTGCTGATGCTAAGTGCTGGGAAGTGGCTGCAAATACAGATTATCATTAGCAGAAAAGTGTGACTGCACAATAAATGTACTGTGTTTGAATCATCTCAAAACCATTCCTCCCCTCACACCCATGGAAAAAATTGTCTTGCATGAAACCAGTCCCTGGTGCCAAAAAAGGTGGAATGCTGCCCTAGAAGACTGTGGTTAATTCTGAGGAGTGAACTGAGGGATCATGGTAGGAAGGAGACTTACTTTTTACTATCTTATTCTCTATTATAATTGGTTTTACCAAGTACATGTATTATCTATTTAAATACTGTGTAATTTTTAATATAGCAGCCAGAGCAAATAGCTTCACCTTTAAGCTACAAAGAGAACCCCAGACACACCATTCTAACCTTCAGAACCGCTATCTGGCTCATATAGCGGTTGAGTTCCTTCTTGTCGAAAGATAATATTTTCCTTTTTCAGTATTTCCAAGCTGTCTAAAGCTGTTCTGTGTTCAGACAGTGACTTTAAAAGGGAAATGTTATTTACTAATCCAGAAAGTTCTGAAGAATTTCTAGGATCATTCCAGCATTGTTTGCTTTCTCTGGCAATTTTGACTTCAATATGGTCATGGGATAAACTTCCAATCCCTCCCAAATCTTCAGATTCAGGTGTATGTGCTTCGGTGGAAATAAGATGCTTTTTTCCCAGTGGGTAAAACAAAGAACTGGAAATTTGCATATTTGATTTATTAAGGGTAATACATTCAGAGTCATTCTGATTGGTATTTAATAGTTGGATACTGTTGTCACTGCTAGAGGTTGATGGTAAAATCTGTTCATCATTTTTGTCTAAGTCACTTCCCACGATAGAAGGCTGAGATAGAGCATCTTCTGAAACTGGATTATTGTTTTCAGGAGTCTGATCACTGGCTATGTTTAAAAAATGAGGAATATGTAAATTTGTGCTTATATCTTTAGGTTTATTTGGGAGTAAGGCAAAATCATGGTTAATTCTGACTTTTTGGATAGATTTATTAGAATCTTCTTTATTATTTATGTATACATCATCTGTCCAATCTAAAGATGAATCAAAATTGCTTAATGTGTCACTGTACTCCTCTATGTCTTTTCCAGTGTCCCCAGCTTTAATAGGTTCTATATGAAAACCTTCACAAGTTTTATCACAAAACAATGGCAAAGACTCTTTAATAGGAAATGTCTCTGTAGGTTTGCCACCAACAGACGTTAAGAGTGGCAAATGTTCACTGCCAATTTCTTGACAGCTTATATTCTCACATCTCTTTTGAACGCATGAATTGCCATCGTTAACCAAAATTCCCTTTATCAAATTGTCTGAGTTCTGGGAAATTTTATTGTTTTCTTGTGATTCCTCCTCTGTGTCACTCGTCTCAAAATTGCCCAGATTAAAAGTTACCTCCAAAAATGGTTGTGTTTCATTACTTAGAGATTCATGAATACTATTGAGATTTTCATTATCAGTATTCCTTTTAGTAAACACGTCTGTAATGTCATCAGAAATCCTAGAATTGCTACTTAGCAAAGATTCAATTTGTAGATGTTCTGATTCTGGCAGAGATGACACCAGTTGTTTACACTCTTTTTCTGATGTTTCATGTGTATTTGCCTCCTGAACATTTTCTCCAATGAGACTTGATCCTTTTGTGTCAATTTGATTAAAAGGTATTTTAATACTTTCTTGAATGTCAGATTCTGATAATACACCATCATTTTCTGGACTGCTACTGATAACCTGTAAGCTGCCACTTTCACAGAATGAAGGAATTTCTAATTTTACTTCCTGATTCCAGGATTGATCATTATTATCTTCTGGCTTATCTGCATTATATTTTTTCCCCTTTTCAGTACATGTTTCAAAGAACTGCGTCCTTTTTTGCACCAAAAGTGCTTTCAAATTCAAATTTATATCATCTTCCTGAGCCTTGGGTTTCCCTTCCATATCATTTCCACCTGCAGCAGAAGAATGTATAGGTGAACTCTGTGAGGATAAATACATGGCCCACCGGCTTTTATTTCTCATGGTATTTTCTGATGTATGCTGGTAGTGTAAATTCCCTGTGCTCTTCATCTCAGCCCATTCTTCCTGTTGAATTAATTCCTGTTGAATAGGTTTAATAGCAATTTTTAAAGTTTCTTGTGCTTGTTTTGGAGGAAAGTGTTCTGTAATCTCAGAATTTAGTTTCTCACATGTACTAATTGATTTGGACTTCAGAAGAGCTAATATCCGTGCTTTGCTTCTGATGTTTTGGGAAACTCCTAAACAGTGAGATGACAAATTATCTCTTTTCTTAGGCTCATTGGTCAATAAAGAGTCTGAATGCTTGCTTCCAGAACTGATAGCAGAGCAAATATAATTTTCTTCACATAGCATTTCTGGGTTAATCTTGAAGGATGGATCAGAGACAACTGAAGAAAAAGTCATGCCATTTCTCTCTCTGTTCTTGTAAATCTCAATGTTCTCAGGGTCTGTTGACATAGTATTTGTATTTTTCTTGCCAACAGTAGAAAACAAAGGAGGTGTGCTATAGAATGGAGAAAAAAAAGTAGGGCCAGGTTTCTTAGCCTCAGGTGATGTAGGTGATTCACCATTTTCTGTAATAACTGTTTTCTTTGGAACCTGACGTGGTCCTTGAAAACCCTAAAAATATTAAAATAATTATTAGCTATACCATTACCTATAAAGAAAACATGAAATAAACTGACAAAGAAAAAAAAAAGAATAAGGAATGTGTATGCTTTGCCTAAGGTAAAGTAATAATTAAGATTTAAAGTTTGCTAAATTGAAATACAAACATTCATTTGTAGTAAGACTTTTCTAACTACAGTTTATTTCCTTTCTACCTAAGGACGCTATGAAGGGCTAACAACAGAATACAATAGCTTCAAAATTCACTACTTTTTGAAATAATTTTATAAACATGTTTTTAATTTCTTTTCAGATTCTACCAAGGAGTATATAAATATATATTGATGTATTATTTTCCACAGAGAAACTTACGGTAAACTTCCTTTTTAAACCAGAGGGCTGACATCCAAGAGACCGGCCAGAGGATATAAACCTCTTTGAATTTAATTCTGATGGTTCTTTAATGACATCCTGTTTAATAGCTATGCTGCCAGCAACTTTAACCTCCTCGACTGTGATTAAGTATCGATCACCTTCTAAGTTATCTCCAGGTTTCACCTAAATTTTAAAAAATAAATGTCAAAAATCACATATATCTAATTATTTGATTATCTGTATTCCAGTATGCTCATTAGCACTGAGCAAGATACAATGGATATTCAACAAATGATTGTTGAATAAATGAATCAGTAACTAAATGCTTCAATTATTTATTATTATGCACTAGTTAGCTGCCAATAAGCACAAAAAAGATAATACAATAAAAAGTCACTAATTTGTTCATTCGATAGTACATATTGGGGGACATATATGAATGAGGCGCCATACTATATGCTGGGGATACAAAGACAAATAAGAAAAAAAATGCTTCCTCTCAAGAAATTTACTTAGAATCCATACAACTAAGTGTAATTTTTTAAAGATTAGAGCTATTATCAATTATATATCTTTAAATGAATATGAATGAGATACATGCTATAGTTATCACATATTAAATATTACAAATTATAATTGCTTAATCATATTCCAAAATGTATTTTAATCACTTTAATGAACAAATATAACACTTGCCACCACCTCTAACTGCAGTATAAAATTATCAACCTAGTTTGAAAATACACAAAATCTGTATCAGATCGATATCTTACTAATGAAATGATGTGAGATGAAATAATAACAGTAGTTATCATTAACTAAATATCTACTAAGATAGTGATTCTTCTAGACCCTATTTTTATAAATATAAAAGTACCACAACCACTTTTTGTTTTTTTTGGAGACAGGGGCTCACTCTGTCACCTAGGCTAGAGTGCTGTGACATGATCATAGCTCATTACAACCTCAAACTCCTGGACTCAAGCAATTCTCCTGCCACAGCCTCCCAAGTAGCTGAGACTACAGATGCATGCCACCATGCCCAGCTAATTTTTCTATTTTTTGTAGAGATGGGATCTTACTCCTGGTCTCAAACTCCTGGCCTCAAGCAATCCTCCCACCTCAGCTTCCCAAAAATGCCAGGATTACAGGTGTGAGCCACTGCACCTGGCCCCCACAACCACTATTAATGTCACATACAATTTCAAAATGAATTAAATATCATAGCCAAACATTACTCTAATAATAATATGCACTTTTAGCACATTTAGAATCATTGTACTACAGTGCTAGGCATTTTATGTGAGTTATTTCTCATCTTCAGACCAACCCCATAATTCTGTCTATGATCTACATTTTTTTTTTTTTTTGAGACAGAGTCTCACTTTGTTGCCCAGGCTAGAGTGAATGCCGTGGCATCAGCCTAGCTCACAGCAACCTCAAACTCCTGGGCTCAAGAGATCCTCCTGCCTCAGCCTCCCGAGTAGCTGGGACTACAGGCATGCGCCACCATGCCCCGCTAATTTTTTCTATATATATTAGTTGGCCAATTAATTTCTTTCTATTTATAGTAGAGACAGGGTCTCGCTCTTGCTCAGGCTGGTTTCGAACTCCTGACTTCGAGCAATCCACCTGCCTCGGCCTCCCAGAGAGCTAGAATTACAGCCACAGCATCCAGCCTATGATCTACATTTTACAGTGAAGATGTTAGACACAGAGAAGTTAGGTTAACTAGAAAGTATTTGGAAGTGGGAAATGAACCCAGAATGATCAACTCTAATATTCTTATTTTTTATACCAAAATATGCCTTTAGTTCCCTTCCCTTCCTTTTTCTTTTTCTAGAGGAAAAATACAGACTGAATATTTGAGAAAATACTTAAGTGGGAATATTTCACAAAATATTTCCCACTGTAGATCTCTGCCCATCAAAAAACTATGTAGTAGAATTACACTCTAGAGTCATTTCCTGGGTTCAAATCCCAGCCCTACCAGTGTAACTCTATGAACATGGGCAAGTTACTTAACTTTTCTGTACTGTACTCCTAATCTATAAAAATCACAGCATTGTTGTAAAGATTAAACGAAACAGTATCTAAAAGTTTGTAGCACAAAGTCTAGTTATAACAAGTGTTCAACAAATACTAGCCATAATTATAAGTACCATGATTACACTATTCAGCAACATTTACAAAGGAAATATTTAGAGATTTTTAAAGAATAACTTAAAAATAAGATAAACAGATTAAAATACCTCAAGGCACTTAAGAAATATACTCTCCAAACATGTTCCTTTGTCATCATATAAAATTGCCTGTATTAAAACAAAATAAATGTTAAAAAGTAACAGAATATAATTCTGCTTTTCTTAAACATCTTCAATAGCAAATCAAAAACTCTTAATTAAATAATGTAATGAAAGGATTATCTACTTTGTTTTGAAAGTGCCTCTATTTTGAATGTTTATTATGCATCCTCTCAGACTTTGTAAGAGAGTAAAGGTATACACATAAGGAATTCAAGAACTTAAATCCTACTAGGAAGACCTTGGAATGGAACCGGGGGGAAAAAACGGAACTGGAATGCATTAGAAAGGACAAACGGGAGACAAGATTTAAGAGATTATCGTAATGGGATGTTATGCAGGATTGAAGAGTGATCAGGGCTTGAAATAGGTTATTGGCATTGGAGATAAGAATCATTTATGAGGTATAACAAATAAACTTGTTGAATGTGAGGGGTAAGGGAGAAAAAAAAACCCAGATTATTTAAAAGCATATAGCTTTTCAACTTAAGGTGACTGAACATTAAGTTAAGACCTCACTGAATATAACTGTTAAACTTAACTAGGTTTATAAATTTAATAGGATTATATAAATTAAACTTGAAGGCTTAAGGCAAAACTAGTTTTCTTTTAGTTTGCTGTTTTAATAAATTAAATATTAACTTTACAAAACTATAACTTTACAAAATAGCCTTTTCCCTACTGAAAAGCTTCCCTCAGTTATAAACTTATAATAACAGGTAAATAGCATAAGAACAGAATATAGGGTTCTTTAACTGCTAGACGTATGGTCTTCCTTTAGGAGGTTACAGATGTTATCAATGTGTCCTATCTAATATTATCAACCAACTGTAATAAAGTTCTTTTAAAAAATTACTAATATTAAAAAAGACAGTAGAATGGTTAGGACATGCTCTGGAGCCAAAAAGCCCTGGTTCATGTATGACTCCACTTTCTAGCTGTGAGACCCTTGGGCAACCTACTTCATCTCTCTGTACCTCAGTTTCATCATCAGTAAAATAAAGATAGAAAGAGTACCTAACTAGTAATAGTAGGAGAGTTATGTAAACTGAGTCGATACCTATAACATATTATGCCTAGCACACAGTAAACACTTGATAATATTAGCTTTTTAAAATCAAAACAAATTAAATAATATTTATTGAACTATTTTTATAATGTACAAATTAACCACTGTAATATAAAAATCATTAAAAAATTTGTTTTCACATCATGTCAGTATATAAACATATCTAACATTTTATCATCTACAGAGTTTTAATATTCAATTAAAAGGTAAGAATCTAGCTCTCAGACTGTGTAGTCAGGTGCTTTACACTTACTTTGTTTCCTAAGTGAGTGATCTTCAGGATTCCATCTTGCCATACTTTTGACTTCTTCATCTTTTGATTAGTATATAGGACCTTATTTCCAAAAGTAAAGAAGTGATTGCTATTTATATTTATTCAATGTTATGTATTATATATATACCCTTCCTAACTACAAAAAATATTCAAGATATCTTCTATCAAAATAAAAGGGAGAGAGGGAGAGATGGAGGAAAGTAGGTAGTAAAAGGCAGAAGAAGGGAGAAAGGAGAGGAAAACTCCAAGGAAAAAACTGAAAAGTTAACTAAGCACCAAAAATAATCTTGAGCTTCCTAGTCATCAGTGGGCAGAGGAAAAATTGTTGAGTTACAAAGTACTCATGATCTGGGCCATTCTCAGTGTGGTCCAGACACTCCTGGAGGTCTCCAAGACTTTTACAGACTTCCACGAGGTCTAAACTATTTTCATGATGTTATTTGTCTTTTCATTCTCATCCCTTCAGACATGCAGAATGCAGTTTCTTAGGGTTATATATAGGCAATATTGCAAGAGTCAGTTGCAAATTGAATGCAGAAGCAGACATGAGAGTCCAGATGTCTTCTATTAAGTCAAATATTAAAAGCAATTTGCAAAAAAATGTAAAGCACGCTATTCTTCTCATTGTTTTTTTCTGCTGTTGTTATTGTTTAGGAAAAATTAGCTATTTTCATTAAAAAATGTGTATTTATATTAACAGGTAATGAGTTTATTATTGTTCTTTTTACATGAATTAATAAATATTTTTAAAATTTATAAGCCCTATATACAAAAGTTCTTTGTGGTCCTTAATAATTTTTTAGAGTGCAAAAGGGCCCTGATACTAAATAGTGTAAGAACCACTTGGTCTAGACAAAAGAGGCATGCCAGTCCTTCAAGAGAAAGAAATTGTTTCCTGGTCTCAAGTCTCCAAGGAATTTGTTACAAAGGACTTTGTATGACAAATACGAATAGTAGGTAAGAGAAAGGATTGCTAGATAAAATATAGTACAATATCTGGGACATATGCATACTAAAAAGTATACATATGTTTATCTGAAATTCATTTAGATTTATTGTTTATCTGAAATTCAAATTTAACTGGGTGTCCAGCTTTTTGTTTGTTGTTTTGTTTTTGCTAAGTCTGACAACCTTAGCAAGATGTTTGTGAAACACCTTAGAAAGAAGGGTGGAAGAAAAGACGAGTAGAAGGGAGAGGGTAAAAGAAGGAAGGAAATTTCACCAAATTGTGAATATTGATAAGACTTACAATAAATTCTTGGCTTTCCATTGTTTCTTCTTAAGTTATAAACCAGTCAGGTCCAGAAAATACTCAGTGGTTATTCAACTCTTTATACTGCCTAAAATTTAAAAATGACATAGAATTTTCAACCCTAATAAAAATTACAAATACCAAATATAATTTTCCCCAATCTTGACCAGAGCACAAAGAGATCCAAGACTATCTGACTACCAAGGGAAACAAAGGTGTCATGAAATCATGTGTCCCTGAGGACACAGTAAAAGTGGTACCACACAGTGAAAAAAGAATTTACCACATAAAGAGAAAACTAAGAAAAATATATGAACTAATTAGTAATTGCAAACATTTTACTAGGTGCTATAAAAATCAGAAAATATGATTTTCCCCTCCATGTTTGGTTCCTTAAAGCCCAAATTCAGTTTTCCTAAAGTTTTCTGAATTGTGCTGGTCACCACAAGATGGCCCCCTTGTATTTTTAAACTTTTCCTTTTGCATCTTAAAGTCAATATACCACAGTATCTAGGGCCAAATACATATTACCCACATACTATATCCCTTCCCTCCAGCCCATTGGAATTGCTAGATGCCCAAGAATGCCAAGAATACAAGAGGTCCAGAGAAATACATCACCCCTGGTGCTTTTGGAGTAACTAGCTGCTAAATGGGTAGATATTCTGTGCATACTGATGAGAATACGTGGTGCAGTGTATTCTCATCTGGTGCTTGGCATGTGGGAGTTGTTATTAATATTAGAGCTCTTTAAAACAGCTATCATTTATTCAGTACAATTATAAGCTCTACTGGGCGGGGCACGGTGGCTCACGCCTATAATCCTAGCACTCTGGGAGGCAGAGGCGAGGGGATTGCTCGAGGTCAAGAGTTCGAAACCAGCCTGAGAAAGAGCAAGACCCCCATCTCTACTATAAATAAAAAGAAATTAATTGGCCAACTAATATATATAGGAAAAATTAGCTGGACGTGGTTGCACAAGCCTGTAGTCCCAGCTACTCCGGAAGTTGAGGCAGCGGGATTGCCTGAACCCAGGAGTTTGAGATTGCTGTGAGCTAGGCTGAGGCCATGGCACTCACTCTAGCCTAGGCAATAAAGCGAGACTCTGTCTCAAAAAAAAAAAAAATGCTCTATTGTTAAAATGCTTTAAATGCTCCCAACCTTGTGGTGTAGATACTATCTTTACATCTATTTTACAAAAGAGGAAACTGAGGTACAAAATAGTTAAGTAACTTGTCCAAAGTCATAAAGTAAATAAATGGCAGACTCAGAATTCAAAACCGAGTAGTTCAACCTCTGGTGCTCATACTCACAAATACTACATTATATAATTATTTATTGATTACCTGCTATGTCTCAAGCATAATAGTATGTAATCGATGTCAGGCATATACTTTACATATATATCAGTCTCATAATCCTGAAGAGTAGCGATGTACAAATTAGGAAACCAGTATTTCCTAATGTAGGATTACGTATATGCCATTTAGGAATTGCAAGATAAACTCACCATTATTTTCCTAAATTAGAGTTATTACTTCTGGGATTTACAATTTAAAAGGAACTGGTGGCTCACGCCTGTAATCCTAGCACTCTGGGAGGCCTAGGCGAGGGGATCACTCGAGGTCAGGAGTTCCAAACCAGCCTGAGCAAGAGCGAGACCCTGTCACTACTATAAATAGAAATAAATTAATTGGCCAACTAATATATATACACATATATATACAAAAAATTAGCCGGGCATGGTGGCACATGCCTGTAGTCCCAGCTACTTGGGAGGCTGAGGCAGGAGGATCGCTTGAGCCCAGGAGTTTGAGGTTTCTGTGAGCTGAGCTGACGCCACAGCACTCTAGCCCGGGCAACAGAGTGAGACTCTGGAAAAAAAAAAAAAGAAAGAAAGAAAGAAACCATCCAGTCGAAAGAACCAAAGGAAACTCACATTTCATTTGCCAACATTCTAATAGCCATGATTCTGTGTAACTAAAGGACGCTAGAGACTTGATCCTTTGTCAGTCCTAAAAACAAGCTGTGTGCGGAATTGCAAAGCAGGGACTAGGAAAGCCGACGAAGACGAGGCACCAATTATGACAGGCAGTCTGAGCCAAGTTGTGACTGCTGCCACCCCAAACCTGGTTCCAAACAGCAACCTTCCCGGTCCGCTTCTTACCGAGCAGAGTCTTTCGTCCCTTCGCCCCAAGTCGCTCAAGTCTCCCTGCCTATCCACCCTTCATTCCCAGGAAACCCCGAGAAACACTTCACTTCATCTGTGGAACACACAAAATCCACTTTCGAATTTCTCCCGCGAAAGAACGTGACGTCATTAACCCGCGACAGCACAAAATAAGGCCCCAGTACTTGCCCCGCCCACCTCCGCCTCAGCCAGAACCGCCATTTTCAAACCGCCAATCGAATTCTTCTTCAGCGGCGAGCCTCCCCACCCGGCCGGGTTCTCTGGTGGCCCGCCCCTGCGGAGCCAGCCCACGCCTGTGACGTCAGCGGCGGGCGCGCAGCCTCCGGGCCCGTCTTTCTCGACGGGGACGAGAGAACGGTGTCGCTCGTCCTATGACGCGAGAGTAACCACGACTATAAGGATCAGGAGCCGGGAAGGGCTGGAGGACGTGACCCCGTATTTTGGGACTTGAACGGAGTAAGTTGCAAGTGGCCTACAGGGTCGTTCAGGTTGGGCAAAGTCTACATTCTTCTCAGTCCTTTTTCTCTCAGTCCATTCTGTCATCCGTGGCCCTGCTCACCCCGCCCCCTCCACGAACCCATCAGTTCGCTTGGCCTAGTTCTCTATGCGCAGGCGCAAAGTCTGCCTGCGGTCCTGTAATTCCAGTTTTGGGCGAGTGGGGGCGCTGTGCGCCCGGCGTTGGGAGGTTTGGGGCACGCCCCGATGTTGACGGCGTCCGTGCAGAAGTACGGGTGCCGAGAGGAGCAGTGGGTAAAAGCGGTTTACTTTGCAGATTGGAGTTGAGCCTTGGCTGCCAATGGGTAGTGAACGTGAGGGCTTAGATTCTAAAATTCAGTAATTTTCTAGTCCTTGTCCTCAAAGAGTTGAACATCTAATTATGCAAGAGATCCAACAAATAATAAGTGGTAGACACGGTGTACTGAGTCGTTACTAAAGATACTTAGGGAAAACGTGGGGGCGATTGAATAGAGGAGGCGTGGTGGAAGGCCTCAAAGACTCAGATGGCATTTAACCTGGGCCTGAAACTGAGTGTTCGGCTCTGACCAGAACAATGGTTCTTAGCCTTTTTTTTTTGGCAAACAGTGGTTCTGAAAACGTGATAAAAGTTATGGACGAGCTTTCCAGGAAAATGTGCATGTACCTATCAAAATATTTTGCATACAATTTTATCAGGAAAAATTGTGAAAGACTTCGAAATGGAAAAACAATTGGTTGGTGTCTTTTCTGGCTCACTTTTCCAGGTTATCTGTGCCTTTCGTTGTCGTCGTGGAGCTATTTTACAACTCTGTAACCTGTAGAAAACAATAAAAATGGAAATTACGTTTGTCCAGTAGAGATGCAATTATCTATTAGCCTGACCAGTGTCTGTTAGCATTTATTTCAAAGTTCCTGATTGCCTATCTATGTATCTGCTTTTTAAATTCTCCTTCGAACTGGTTTTAGACACTTAAATGGTTCCCTCATTTATAGTCAGGTGCAGCATAAGGACAGACCTCATGTACGACCGTCCCATAAGATTATAGGTGTGTAGTAGTAGATGGTGTGTAGTAGTAGATACCGTCTAGGTTTTTGTGAGTTCATCATAGTCAGTACAATCTATGATGTACCTCACAGTCACCCAATGATGCATTTCTTAGAATATATCCCTGTCATTAAGCAACCCATGACTGTACTTAAATAAAATCTTTACTGTGTATTCATTTTATATTTGTACAAGAGTCATTATTTTACCTTATCTTAAAATTTATCTTTCAACAATTTAATGGAGTTCACAAGAATTCTTGTCCAGCCAGAGTTCCATGGACTTCAGGTTAAGAATTCCAGAGTCAAAACATAGGGTCTGTGGTGACAAGTTGCAGGAAGTTCTACTAAAAGGTAGACAATGTGGGACTCAAACATACCTGAGCTCACTTACCTAACTAGCTTTGGACAAGTCACCTAATCTTTGAGATGGAAGAAACTACTCCCTAGAGGGCTTGTGAGGATTTAGAACAATGTGTGTAAAGTAACTGGCATTGTTGCACAGTAACTTTTATTCTTTGTTTAAAGCCCATGTTTAGAAGCCAGTTAAATGTTACTTTTTTTAACAGTTTTTTTTCTTTTTCTATTTTTTCTTTTTATTTTTTTATATGACTCAAAGGATATCAAAAGGTACATACAGTTTTTTTTAATACGTATTATGTTAAAGAAGGTGATAAGGAATTTCTAATGTTGCAGGTTTTTTCATTAGCATCACAAAACCTGATCTGTGTTTTAGACAATTTACACATAGGCTTCTGTGAAGGATGGATGACTTCTAGAACAGTTTATAAACTTGCCATATTTTCGTGACAGTAGTTGTAGAAAACACTGGATATAGATGATAGCCATTTCAACTTCAAATTGATAGGCTTTAGTGACAGATTGGTAAATAATAATAATTGTTACAAATTATGGAGTGTGCTTTATACAGCAGCAGTTCGAAGTAGCCTTATTATTATGTAGCCATGATTTTTATCCGCATTTTATAGACCACAGAGAAATGAGTTAACTTGCTCAAAATCCACACAGCTAGCAAATAGCTTGATTGGCTAACTTGGTGGAATGTAGCATCCTTAAATAAGATGAGGGTGGTAGAAAGAACAGATCTGGGTAGGAAAGATAATAAGTTTGATTTGGAATGCATGGGATGACGATACATGTAACCATTATCACAAGATGGACATTGAGGATCGAGACTGTAACCAAAAGTATTGCTGCAGCCTGAGCAACATAGCAAGACCCCATCTCTAGAAAAAAATTTAAAAATTTTAGCCAGACGTGGTGGCACATGCCTATGTCCCAGCTGCTTAGAAGGCTGGAATAGGAGGATGGGTTGAACCAGGTAGTTTGAGGTCGCATTGAAATATGATGATACCACTGCACTCTAGCCCAGGCATCAAAGTGAGACACTGTCTCAAAAAAAAAAAAAAAGTATTGCCATGGAAATTCTTGATTTTCTGCAGTTGTTGTATGGGAGAGCTAAATTACTCCATATCTTATGTTACTTTCCCTTTAATCCATATCTTCTTCTAAATCAAAGGTATATTTGATCATTCTGAACTTAGAAAGACTCCAAACCACAAAAATAATCCTTAGGAAAAAGAATGAAGGAAGAATCTCTAGGCTGAAATGCGAGAATGGTGGGGAAAGTTCTGGGAGAATTGTGACTTTCTGTGCTTTTGCAATTCTGTCTACTGTTCATTAGATGGTGGTCTTTGACAAGGAAAGGAATTGGAGAGTAGGTAGTCTGTCCTTCATAACTTACAGTTTTTTCAAGTGAGAAAATTAGCAGTGAAGCCACTGTAGTAATAATCACAGTCTGCATTTATATTTTATTTATTTTCTACCACCTTACAAAAGAATTTGAAATGCTTAACACTTTACAAGTACTTTTAAATATATTTAATTATTCAACAGATGCTTAGGTAGTAATCAAGTTAAAGTCCCTGCCTTCACAGTGTTTACATTCTAGTAAGATAGATACACAATAAAATTATAGTTCCAAGTAGTGGTAAGAGGATACAAGGATAGAAAATGGTGACTGAGTGAGTGGACAGGGGGAAGGTTGGCAGGGAGGGAGTATTTTAGATTAAGTGAAAGAGTAATCTCTGAGAAAGTGCCATTTGCAGAGACCATAATAGAAAAGGAAGTAATCCATACAGATATGACAGGGAATGCCCTTAGCATGTTTAAAGAACCTAGAGATGGTAAGTATGGGTGAGTTGAGCCTACTGGAAAGCACTGTGGGAGATGAAGTTACGTATCACCAGGCCAGACCATATAGCGCCTAGTAGACAATAGTAACGGTCTTTGGACTTTATTCTGAGTGTGATAAGAAACCTCTGCAGGAGTTTGTGCAAGAAATTTTCATGATCTGACTTATATATCTAAATGATTATTCTAACTGGATAATTGATTGTAAGGGAAGAAGAGTAGAAGTAGGCAGATTAGTAAGAAAGATCTTGAAGTAGTTTAGGCCAGACAGGGTAGTAGCTTGGACCAGGTGCTTATTATGATGGAGATGAGAAGTATTCCTGTTCAGGATATATTTTAAAGGCAGAGCTAATGGGAATGCTAATGCATTGACTATACAGGCTGTGCAGAAAAGAGGAATTAAACATGTTTCAAGGTTTTTGCCCTCTCAACAATTTTGTAATTGGTGTTTCTGAGATGTGAAAAACTAGGCAAAAAATAGATTTGTTAAAATTTGAGAGTTCTGGCCAGGCATTCCTGCATGCCTGTAGTCCTTGCACTCTGGAAGGGTGAGGCAGGAGGATTGCTTGAGGCCAGGAGTTTGAGACCAGCATAGGCAAAATAGCAAGACCTTGTCTCTACAAAATACAGAAAAATTAGCCAAGCATGGTGGCATCCACCTGTAGTCACAACTACTTGGAAGGCTGAGGCATGAGTATCCTTTGAGCCCAGGAGTTTGAGTTTGCAGTGAGTTATGATGACACCACTGCACTCTAGCCTGGGCAACAGAATGACACCCTGTCTGAAAAAAAAAAAAAAATGAGAGTTCTATTTTTGGCATGTTAACCTTGAGATATCCTTTAGATATCCTTTAGATAAACTAGTGGAGGTGTGAAGTAGACAGTTGAATAATGGAATGTGGAGCTAATGAGAGAAAATAGATTGAGCATAAAGCCAAGACCCTCAGAAAGGATTTGTAGATTAGAAGTGAGCCCAGGACTGAGTCCAGCTCTAGGCAGTATATAAAGTTAGAGCACAGTAGGAGGGTGATAGAGTGAAAGGAAATTAAGAGGAAACTATATGAAGCAAATATTTTCAAGGAGGGAATTATCAACTGCAAATGCTGCTGAAAGCTCATGTAGACAGTGGAGCTCATTGATGGTTTTGTTTGCAGTTTCGGTGGAATGATGGGAATGTAAGCTTGACAAGACAGGTTGAAAGAGTATGGGGTGAGGAATGTGGTTATTCAGTATAAATGACACCTGATTTTTTAAAAATTATTAATTCTGATTTGTAGCTGCATTTTATGTCTTAAGCCATCATCAACTAAATACATCATTACTTGGGTATTTTCAAAATTGGTACGTGGCTGATCAGCTGAAACCTGTCCTAAAAATGCCAAAATTCTCTTCTGTTGGCTTTGATGAGAATACACCTTAATTGGAGATTTGAGGTGAAATGCTTTAAGGTAACCCTCTTACAGAATATCACTTTGAAACACCTTTTCTATTTCTGTTACTGTCAGCAGCATCACTATAACAGTTACAGATTATAGCTGGCGATAAGACTCAGAGGTGTAAATATTGTGTTTACTTAGCTTTAAAGAAGAACACAAGGCAAAAGGTAGAGTAGGGGCTTCCTCATCTCATCAGGAAGCCCAGCCCCAGCACTTACCTAAATCCAGCAATTACCCAAATCCACTGCTTTTTTTTTTTTTTTTTTTTTTTTGCCTCCTTACAACAGGTATGTATGGCTTTTCTAGATAAGGACCAAACTGTGTTGAGGATACCTTGACACATGAAAGCTTTAGCCTCTTTTGCCTGCCAATCTTTTATGTCATTCTGGTCCCATAGGCCCAAGGCCTGCATGCCAACTAATAGCTGTTCCAACCCAGATACAACAGAGGAAACAGATCTAACTCTACCCATTTGTCCTAACTCCTGTTTCGAAGACCACGTTATGGGAGACTGAGGTTATTCTCAAGCAGGCCTACATCATCCCAGGCCTGATGTTAATCTCTTTGCTCATTCACTAGTTTTTGTGTATGTACCTCTAGTGATTCAATTCAGTCGACAAATTTTAGACACAATTCATTCAGCCAATTTTTGAGTAACTACTATGTACCAAGCACTAGGGATGCATCAGTAAACAAAATAGGCAAAAATCTGCCATTTTATCAATCTCACATTCTTGGAAGAATAAGTAATAAAGAAATAAATTGTATAATAACGTTAGAAGGCGATAAGGCTACAGAGTAAAACAAGGCAGAGGGGTTACCCAGTTATCTGTCCAGAAATTTACATTTTTAAACTTAATTGTGGGGGGAGACCTCACTAAGATCACATTTGAATAAAGACTTCGAAGAGGTGAGAGAGCAAGCTGTGTTGTGTCTTTGGATACATGTTTCAAAAGACCCTCTGTTGAGTTTGCTGGGTGAGTTTTAGGAAGAGCAAGGCCAGTATGGCTGGAGCTGAGAGAGCAAAGGGAAAGTGGTGTGTGCAAAGTAACTTGAGGAAGAAGAAAGTTAGAAGTTGCTGCCCATGCAATAAACACCCTAGGATGGAAAGAGCACTTGACTAATCTGACTTTACAGCTTAGCACTTACATTCTGCTTCTAGAAAGTAGAGATTAACATTTTAAAACTAAACATCAAGAATCTGTTTATTTTTATTTTGTCCATTGGAGATTCTAGTATTAAAATATGTGAATAAAACTTTTGGTGGGGATGGGGTTATTGAGATAGAGACTGGGTTCCTTAATCTTACACTTTAATATATTGACTCAGAAGTATAGTTTGGTGAGAGAAAGATGTAAATATTATACTACACTAGGATAATCTGGTCCTGCAGTTAAAAAGGTACAAAAAACTAAAGCTGTGATCCCCGACAGAGGAGTTGCACTATTTTAAAAGAAACAAAGCCAATGAAAAGTGAACAAGGAAGAGCTAAAAATAAATAAATAAACAAGAAAAACACAAGGCCAATGAAATTTTCCTCAGTTCATTTTTGAGAATGTCTGACAAGTATTCCCCTGAAAAGTTTTGTCTTGTGGCAGCCAAATGTTCAGTCCCTTATCCATCAGACAATTAAAAGATAACCTAAGTATTTTCCTATATTAGCGATGACTTGTGGCAATTGCTTGATGTAAATATTTATTTCTTTGTTTTCTAATTCACAAGAATGGAAACTGAAAGTGGAAATCAAGAGAAGGCAATGGAAGAAGAAAACGCTGAAAAGAAAAAGGAAGTAGAAAAAAAGAAACGGTCTCGAGTTAAACAGGTGCTTGCAGACATTGCTAAGCAAGTAGACTTCTGGTTTGGGGATGCAAATCTCCACAAGGATAGATTTCTTCGAGAGCAGATTGAAAAATCTAGAGATGGATGTAAGTTTGTTTCACTATATAATGGAACCAAATTTTTGGTATATTATTCTGTAATATAGATACTATTCTTTACCCATTTCTGCAAGTATGTTCCTTGCAATGTTTTAATTTTGTTTAGTTAATGATAAATAACTTTTTAGATAATATTTGGTGCTAGTTCCCCAGATAGGAAGCACAGGCTAAAGAATTAAAATGTTTTTCCATTCCTAGAAAAGAGTTTCTTATTCTTAGAATAGGAATAGAAATTTCTTATTCTCAGAGTTTAGACCTGTATTAAATAAGCAACTTTAAACCAAAGCAGTAACATACTTCTAAAGACATATTGATAAAGACATTAATCCTAACACTCTGAGATACAGGCAGGAGGATTGCTTGAGATGATAAGTTCAAGACCATCCTGAGCAAAAGCAAGACTGCAAATAGAAAAATTTGCCCAGCCAGGCTTACTTGCGGCAAGTTTATAGCCTCAGCTACTCTGAAGGCTGAGGCAGGAGAATCCCTTGAGCCTACGAATTTGAGGTTGCAGTCAGCTATGACACCACTGCACTCTACCCGAATTTGAGGTTGCAGTCAGCTATGACACCACTGCACTCTACCCGTGGCAGAGTCAGACTGTGTCTCCAAGAAAAAAGACTTGGGCACTTTAGTTCATAAAGAAAGGCATTTCACCTAATCCAAATTTCAAATTTAAGACCTGGTTTCATGCTTAAATTTTATCTCATGTTTAGATTGCAAATTTTAAGTTTAAGATTAATTTAAATTTGCTAAATGAGTCTTTAGGCACACCAAAAAAATGCAACACACCTACATACACACAAAACACTGTTGTGTATACATATTAATGGCTTAGGGTCTAGAGAGAAAAGCTCAAAACTGATTAAATTGAATTAATCTCAAATTACACTTATACTCTGCTTTAGTTTTACTGATATTTATTTATTTTTATTAGATGTTGATATATCACTTCTCGTGTCTTTTAACAAAATGAAAAAATTAACCACTGATGGGAAGTTAATAGCCAGAGCTTTGAAAAGTTCAGCTGTTGTAGAGGTAAGAACCATTACAGAGGTAAGAACCATTACAATTTTATTATATCTCATAATTATATTTAGCTTGATTAACATAATATACTGTTTTAAAGCTGGATTTAGAAGGCACCAGAATCAGGAGGAAAAAGCCTCTGGGAGAAAGACCAAAGGATGAGGATGAGCGCACAGTGTACGTGGTAAGCTATTTTCCTAGAGAAGCTTAACAGCCCAGGTCCCCAGTCAAAAAGTGACACAGAAGCATTTATATTTAAGTTAAAATTTATTGGCATTCCGATTAATATTTAAAATTTATTGGCATTCTGAATAAGGTGTAGGGATTGTGAAAAGCTTAAGCTAGAGTTACTATAAATCTTTAATACTGCTTTTAATTTATCCCAGGAGTTACTTCCCAAAAATGTTAATCACAGCTGGATTGAAAGAGTATTTGGTAAATGTGGCAATGTTGTTTACATAAGTATACCACATTATAAGTCTACTGGAGATCCAAAGGGATTTGCTTTTGTGGAATTTGAAACAAAAGAACAAGCAGCAAAAGCTATTGAGGTAGGTCCATATTCTAAAAAAGAAAAAGAAAACAAAAGCACAAAATTTAGCAAGTTAATAACTTTTTTGCAATCATTTCAGTTTCTTAACAACCCACCAGAAGAAGCACCAAGGAAACCTGGTATATTTCCTAAGACAGTGAAAAATAAGCCCATTCCATCCTTAAGAGTAGCTGGTGAGTATTTACTTTATTTCATATTTAATAGATCTAGTTTAAGTAAAATGAAACTGATGACAGAATTGTTACAGAAGAAAAGAAAAAGAAAAAGAAGAAGAAAGGCCGCATGAAGAAGGAAGACAATGTTCAGGTGAAAGAGTTAAACATGGACACAAGCAATGTGAGCAAAATGAAAAGATCGAGAACCACATCTGAGGGCTCCGAAACAGAAACTACTGAACCCCAAAAGCAACCAAAGAAAAAGAAAAAACGAGAAAGAGTTGAAGTGTCCAGCTTACCTGAAGTCAGAACAGGTAAGAGGAAGAGAAGTAGCTCTGAAGATGCAGAATGCCCAACTCCCAGATCAAAAGTAAAGAAAATGGCTCAGAAAGACACCATTAAAAAAGAAGCCTCAGAAGTTTCCAAAGAAAACAGAGGTAAGCATTAGACAAATTAACGTTATGTTTTCATGGCCACACACACACACACACACACACACACACACACACACACACACGTCTCAACTGGCTTTTTTTTCCCCCTCAAGATTTAGAAGTCTCTACTGAAGAGGAAAAGGATACTGGAGATATAAAAGATGGTTCTCTCTTAAAAACAAAAAGGAAACATAAGAAAAAACATAAAGAGAGACATAAAATGGGAGAAGAGGTTATACCATTAAGAGTACTGTCAAAGTAAGTATGTGTTGTAAATTATATTGTTGCTGGCAATTGACTTGACAATCCATCACCATTGCTAAAGTGCAATTCCAATTTATATTCAACAGAGTTGCATATTAGCAACAGTGACGGGCTGTAGCCCGGGTGCATCTGCACACAATGTGAGCATAATGCAATTGAAGATGAGGCAGGAACCACCACACTCAAACATGGAAGCACTTATTTTTGTCATGTCACAGCAAATGCCTCCATGTTAAAGTAGAGGGGGCCCCTTAATAGACTTAAAAATACAAAATACAGCTTAAATATACTAAAAGGAGGCAATTCAGTGAAGTACTTTTGAAGTCTCGTGAAAATGTAAAAGGAAGACTTACCATCACCAAAACATGGAAGCACTTACTTGTTTAGTTTCAAAGCAAGTACATCCACGTTTAAGTGGTGGGGAGCCCAGTCTTTGGGAAAACTTGGAATCCTTAACCTGTAACAAAACCTTATAACAAGATTAATAACAAAAAAAATACAGTTGTTTCAGTTTGGAGACACCTCCACTGAAACATGGAAGCACTTACTTTTGATTCACACAGCATGTACCCCCATGTTAAAGCAAAGGGGATCCCCCTGTAACTCCTGTACGTTAACAAAGTCAACATGTTCCGCTTTGAAAGAAATTGGGTTCACTTCTACTAAAACATGGAAGCACTTACTCTAGAAGTCACAGAAAGTACCTCCATGTTAAAGTTGAAGGGAGCCCACCCGTAGAAAACTTCTTTGGACCCAAGGGGTGAAAAGCCAAGTAGAAAAAAAAAACTGCATACCTTGGAGAGAACAGATTTTTCTTTACCTTCCGTGATTCATTTTCCCCAGATTCCTGGTCTCCTCTAGATGAGTAAAAGGCCAGGACTTCAGGCACTTCTATTTATACTATTCTTAACTCCTGAATTCCTTTTGCCTTTTTATCTCAGAGAATCATTACAAGAGCCTTTTGTTATTTTAATGTATCAGCTCTCAGGGAATGTATGATCCTGGGTGGGTCTGGATACTTTTTTTTTTTTTTTGAAGTATACAGATGTCAATGTTAACAGCTAAAACCATTACCACTAGATACCCTCCTCCAAAAAAAAAAATCTCCTATCTGCTTGTTTGATGGCATAGATTAGGGTAACAATGAGTGCTCCCACAGAGCCTGGAGAGGCTTTGTGTTTCTATTTAGAAGAGCTCTAGCTGTTTGAAGAAACATCTACATGTTAAATGTATGTAAATAAATAAATTGCTTCCATGGGGTGTTTTTTTCTTCTTAGAAATTCCTTTTGATTCAAGTAAATACTAAGGAATGTTATCTCTTAAATTGGAAGCAGCTTAACAAATCTTAAATCTCTCGTTTTTTTCCCTCAGATGACTGATACAGTAAATGTTACTAGTCAAAGAATTAATGCTAAAATTTTATTTTCATAAAGTATATCAAACACTCAAAATTTTAATTGGCAAAGTTAAAACAGTTAATCTGAATGGTGGGGGAAGGGAAACTCCCTTGGCTTGTTTGCTAGCTGGATTTAGAACCCAGGAAATATATGTGTTTAAAGAAACAGGAAAGTTGGGAGGAGGAGTGGTTGAAAGTCACTGTGAATGTATATATTCAGATATTTCCATATTTGCTTTTCATTTAGTCATTTGTTGTCACTATTTCAATAGTTTACTTATTTCTTTGCAGGAGTGAATGGATGGATTTAAAAAAAGAGTATTTAGCACTGCAAAAAGCTAGCATGGCTTCTTTGAAAAAAACAATATCCCAAATAAAATCGGAGTCAGAAATGGAAACAGACAGTGGAATACCTCATAATTCTGGAACGAAAAATGAAAAAAGTAAAAGTCACTATGATAGTTTTTGTTAGCATTATGATGTACTTCTATATGAAAATGCTATTACTGAATTAAGGGATAAATTTTAATTTTAAAAATTTGATTATTTAAAATGGTCACTATTAGAACAATTATTGATTTCTCAAATTGTCCAGATGTGTGATTTATTTATTCTTGATATAAGAGTGAAAGGGCTCATTTTAATCATTTTTAATAACATGAGTTTTCTCTACAGTTTTCATTATTAATGAAATTTAGTCATGACTGCCTAGTTTGTAGATTGACCAAGTATGTAGGAATAAAGATTGCAATTTCTCACCTGTAATTTTATTTCATTGTATGAACCATGATCAGGAACAAATTAAAGCAATATTCTTATCAATTGTTCAAAATAGGATACATTTTAAATTCTTATATATTGTAAAAATAAATGTTCACATTTGAATAATATTGTATTTAGAATATTCTCATATTATCCTATATTCGTTTTTTACTTTATTAACTAATGTTCTTTTGTTCTTTGGTTCAGGGAGAAGGGGCGTTTTTTAAAGTTCTACAGATGTTCTGACAATATTAGTTAGCATTTTAGAGTAATAAAACATTCTGCATTTTATTTCATGGAAATCTGAAATAAGCAGTATGACATACAAAAATAACTTTCTTAATTAAATTATTTTTAAATTCAGTAAATTTTAAATTGATTATTTAAATCAGCCTCTGAAATTATTGTTATTGTTCTAAAGTGATCCTCCTCCTAAGTGATAAATTGGTGCATATAAGATTTATTCCTGGTCTTTTCCTTTTCATATCAACAGCCAACAATGAAGAGTGTCGCCCACCGGAGAAAGTTAATACGACAGGACCACAGTTTATGAGTGGAGTGATTGTGAAGATCGTTAGCACTGAGCCACTACCTGGCAGGAAACAAGTCAGGGTAAATGATTTGAGCCTCTAGGGTATTTGTCCCTTTCTCTTCTTATTAACTTCCTTGTGTGAAAATGTTTTGAATATGGAAAACAGAACAAATCAAATTAGAATTTGTATCTCTATGGTAAACTGTCAGGTTTTGATTCCCCATGTTAAATTCTTAGGTTTAACTTGAAGCAAAATCTAAAGACTAATATTCCTTACTGAACCAAATGTATAATCAGGGCAGTTTAAATATCCTTCTCTATAGGAAAATTGCAACTTGTGCTTATTTTTATTGGTATCTCTAATGGTTGGTTGCTGTGCAATTAAGTGAGTAAATACAGTCCTTTTAAGTAAAGTAGTAAATATAGTAAAGTACTTTCCCAATATTTATTTTTTAGAGGACTTTCTTCTGTTTTCAGTAAAAATTGGTTTTAGAAAAATAGCAGCAAAACTTTGTTGAAGATTTAATCAGTATTAGAATTGGTCTGAAATTATTTCAAATTATAATCATCTGATATTATCTAGTTTTGGAGCAAACTAGAGAATTTGTTTTCATTAGTACTCTTAGTGGATTCCAAAATTATTTTCTTACCTTAAAAAAGTTATAATTGCTATTATATAATAATAATATGCATATTTTTCACTTATGGGTTTAGTTTATTTTTGTCTGTTAATGAATTCTTTGGGAGAATTTAATCTTTTTCCAAAAAGAAAAAAATACAAGAGTTTTTGTAGGAAATAGTCTTTTAGTTTTTTAAAATTTTTCAGTAAAGTATTTTCAATCCATGCTGATTATCTAAAATTTTCAAACAATTACAGAAAAATGTAAAATATTTTTGGAAAACTATAAAAATTTTATATGCATGTGTAAGCAACTTCCATGCTTCTATATAATTTACACTACAACTTGCCATACATAATAGTCTATAATATAGTTTATCTTTTACAAAGCCTTTTACACCAACACAGACAGCAATGCTTTTTTCTTATTAGTGAAATCATATTTCTTTGTGTGGGAGCACCATATCTTATTTGCCCTTACTCTATCACCCATGTAGGTAAGGCTCTTTCTTTTTAAGCTACATAGAATATTTTAAATAACATACCAAGTACTTAAAAAATTCTGTTGCACTGACATTCACCATCACCTAGTATGACATTTTGGTTTTACATAGACTCATACCAGTGAGTTTTTAACTTGAATAACCATCATCTAGGTTGTAACTTACTATAATCATCTGTAAGCACTCTGTATCTGAAACCCTGTCCTAAAATCCTGTTGCTATCACTAAGACATAAATTTTGATTCTCTTTCCTGATTGGTGAGAGATATAGCCAGTTCCAAATTACTATTACCAACTTGCATTTCAGGCTATGGTAGAAATACAGTATTTAGAATAAGAAGGTTAAAAAAATGAGGGACCTAAATGCTGTTGTGGTTAGTCAGATTGCAAAAGATTTAATATAAAACTTACTCAAAGTTTTTTATTTGGAATAGCTGACATGGGTTTACTTATATTCATTAAAGAATTTTTATTGTATAAATCATAATTACATCAATTACAAATATTTCATTTATGATCACCAAAATCATAAAATTAATCACTACATTAATCAAGTTAATAGTTACTTACATTTTACTGGAACAAAAACTGTGCTATTATGATGGTTACTGCTGTCTGTTTCTTGCCAATGTGATTACCAGGCTAATTTGTCATTCTCAGGGTTTTAATTTCTAAGGGTTTTAAACCAGGAGATTAGCCTGACATTATAATGGATATTTAGTAAATATCTTTTGAGTTGTAGTAATTGAATCTGTCTGGAAAATCAATTATAAAACTCTCACTACCACCAATGTATACATTCAAATTTCATCAATTTAATACTGATTGTTCATAAATTTAGTGCTAATTAACTAGATAAAGAAATGGAAAGTATTGACAAGTATATTTCTTTCCATTTCCCTTTTTTTTAAATTGATTCAGCAAATATCTACTAAGTATCTATTTTGTGATATTATGCTAAGTGTTGGGATGAGTTGAGACCTATTCTCTGACTTCCAAAGGCTCAGATTTTTTTATTACATATCCTTCATTATCAACTAATCAATTTTTCTTATTCTGGGATGAAATAATATTTCCAGGTATTACTCAATTCTTTCCATAATTTAAACATCTAAAAATTTAATATCTAAAAGTAATCTAAATTAGTTGTGTCTTGAAAATTTGTTTCAAAACTAAAGAGAAGTGAGATAAATCAGACTCTTTTTTTTCTAATTGGGATTCTCCAGTTATTTCTTTAGCTTTATGAATGGAAGTTGATGAATGAGGAATTAGTGTAACATTCCTGCATAAATGCTTTGTATGCTTCTTAGAACCTGCTGTGGAAAAAATTGACTAAGAATGCTGGAATCTGGTTAATTTGCCCTCACAGCAGGCATTATAGGTAAAACTTTTTCTTGCTGGGTGACCACTACTTGCTTAGAAGAAGTTACTTAGGTATTTTATCAGAAAGTAAGAGCTCTTGAACTATACAGGGAACCTAGAATTCTTGTAGCTTAGAGGAAATTTTTGTCATGAATTGTTACAAAACTTTAAATGATTTTTACACATATTTTAAATCATAAGTGATTTGGTACAAGTGAATGAAAGCACTTTCTCACTTAATCATTTTTTTCCTTATACTAACTACTCCTCAATTTAAACCTTTCCTGATTTGGGGGTGTGCGGACACTATTTGTATATTCTGGAACAACCACTGGAATAATTTTAGCATTATGAAACATTTTTATTGCTGATTTTAAATTTTTCTACTAAACTCTAATACAGGACACTTTGGCAGCAATCTCAGAAGTAGTTTATGTTGATTTGCTGGAAGGAGATACAGAATGCCATGCTAGATTTAAAACCCCTGAGGATGCTCAAGCCGTAGTAAATGCATACGCAGAAATTAAAAAGAAACACTGCTGGAAACCCGAGGTCCTTTCTGGTAAAACTTTATAGAAATTTCTTTTTTTCACAATTCTTATTATGGGTAATTATATTTTCTGAGTTTGGCTGATGAAACTAGTATGTTTTTCATACTCTAATATGTATAAAGTAGCATTAAATGTAATCAAACAAGTATTCTGGTTCTATTATTGACAATGTAATGCCTTGGATATGTTTTCTCATATATATCCTTCTGTTCAGTGATCAGAGTTTTTGTTTTTTAAGGTGATCATGAACAAAGGTATTGGCAGAAGATTTTGGTTGATAGACAGGCTAAACTTAATCAGCCTCGGGAAAAGAAAAGAGGCACTGAAAAGGTAATTATTTCATTTTTGTTTCTGTAAACTAAGGTTTTTTTGGAAATTAGATGCCTTCTGAAAATCAGTAATAGGCAGTCATAAAATAACTTTGCTTTTGGTATTACATAACAAAGACTTACAAAAAGGAAGACCCATTCTCTAGATTTCAAAACCCATGAAATGGAGTTATTTTTCCCATAAGGGTACGCAATTTTAGAGTTTTCCTTTCTTTTTTTAACCAGTGATGTACTTTAAACAGTCCTGATTTCTGGCTGCTGTGTCTTGCAGTTTAGTAGTAAATGATTATAGAAAGACTGTCTTGATGGTAAAAACACAATGTATTTGGAGTGTGGTTTATAAGAGATGAGGCTCCACAGATAAGATTAAGAGACTTCATGGACCGAGTTCCCTACGGCAGTGATAAGCTTTATTCCTTTTTCTCTAGGATCATCAACAAGTGATAGGAGCAAGCTTAAATAAACAATTTAGAGCAAGCTTCTCTTTCAATAATTTTATTTTGTGTTAATTAAAGTGATGCTGGAAACTTACAAAATGTTGCTAGTAAGCTGTTGGGTTTATTCTTTTAAAACAAATTACGTACATGTAAAGGTTCATACATTTTTAAGTGTTTAGAACAAAGTAGGGTATATAATAACTAATACTATTATCATAAAAACTTAGAAATGTATATCATAAAAGTCTGAGAAAAGCCTAAAAAGAAGAACATCCGTGTATGTTTGGTGAGCACTTTAAAAGTTATACTTTCTGTAAGTCTGGGCTTGTTAATTTGAGGTCATATAAAAATATTTTTTAACTTCAAAATGAAGTGTTTTTTCATCAGCCTTCAATAACCAGGAATTCATTGGAATTTATGATGATTTAGGGACAGGTGTCCCACTGGTCTTTGTTATTAATTCTGTTTCCTTGAATGGGGACTGAAGTTGCTGAGATGGGGAGGCCTCCCTGCTTCCTAGGGACTCTTTCAGGTCTAAGAGGTGTTAATGTCACAGCCTGTTTGTGTGTATTTAAATGTTAAAATCATTAATCCAGAACCCACAAGTGAAATGAAGTCACTTTGTTAAATAACACTTCTAATTGGTGTGAAATTTCATTCAGATTGTATATATCTTTTAAACTAGGAGTTAATCATTTATTTTTGATTTTAGAAATTCAGAATGATAGTGTCTTTGACAATGAAATTTGAAGAAAGGAAATAAATATTGGCTACGAAATTTTATAAACTGAGTTGGAACACACGAGTAGCTCCGTTATTGAGTCGGGCAGTTCTCTTTTCCTGATTCCATTTACCTGTGGCACCATCAGGGTTGTCATTACCAGGATGTGTTAAGTAGAAACAGCTGAAGCTATGGAAGTAGCTAGTTGGCTCATGTCATGTGATTTCATTTTTTTTTTTAAGAGAAAAAGATTTGCATTTACTCCAAAGTTAAATAAGGTATTTTAACTTTTTCCATCAAGGAAGCTTTTGGAATATTTTAGACATTTTAAATGGTTTTCTTCTGCATTCCATCTAATTTCGTTTGCCTCCTTTAATATTATCCAACATTTTATGTAAGGGTATAAGAAATAATAAGTAGTCTTAATAACATCCTTATTTTAAATATTTTTTAGTTTTCAAATTTGTAAGCAATTTATAAGCAAACCTTTTGTGTAGCACCCAGCCCAAAAATACACTGAGTCAAATAATTCATAAATTCTCAAGCAGAACATAATTATTAAGGAAAATATATCCTTTAGAAAGTGCCTTGGTAATTTTCAAGCCCAAGGCGATGTGAAACAACAAATAAAAGTTCTGAACCTTCCTAAAAGATGAAGGAATTAGCATGGTCGGGTGACTATCTCTAATTGAAAGAGTTTAAGTGATATTGAACTGAACTTGGAAGGAGATGTCTTGATAATTCAAAGGTTTTTAATATCTGTTATACTTAATAAGCCTTAATCTTAACAATTATCTTTGTAATTTCTTGGGCCTAAGCATAATTATCTCATTTCTCTTCCTTTTCCCCTTTTTAAAAAAAATTCTTTCAAGCTGATAGTTGTGAAATTTTCCTAGTCATAATTATTTTTTTGTTTTGGGGTATCCAATACATTCTAATTTCTTATTTCTTTCTCTATAGTTAATCACCAAAGCAGAAAAGATTAGACTGGCAAAGACTCAACAAGCAAGTAAACACATAAGGTTTTCTGAATATGACTGAAAAAAATTACAGTTCACCTCTTGATATTTCACTGAATATTTGAACTGTTCTTAGGATAATGAGTGTTTTTTAAAAACCTACATTTAATTAAAAGAAATACCTTTGTAACAAAAAACACTTGTATCCCCTAAAGCTATTGAAATAAATAAGAATTTAAAAAAAAAAAAAAAACCACCTTTGTTCCTCAACTTGTAAATAAAACTTTTTTTCTAGGGACAAGTACATTGTACACCAGAGTTTTTCATTAAACATTTTATTTGTTGAAATTGTCTCGTAAGTCAATCTCAAGGGATTTAGTAAATAAATGTGTTTTGAGCATATTTTGAAATGTGTTAATTTTGTTTTTATATTGCAAAGATAATACTGTATGAATATAAAGTTTTGTTTTGTTCTAGAGACAATGTCTTGCTCTGTCTGCCAGGCTGGAGCACAGTGATAGATCACAGGTCACTCACTGTAGCCCAGACCTCCTGGGCTCAAGGAATTAACCTGGCGCAGCCTCCCCAGTAGCTGGGACTATAGGCGATAGGCCACCATGCCCTGCTAATTTTTATTTTTTGTAAAGACTTGGTCTCACTTTGTTGCCTAGGTGGGTCTTGAATTCCTGGCCTCAAGCTGTCCTCCAGCCTGGTCCTCTCAAAGTTTGGGGATTATGGGGGTAAGCCACGGCTCTGAGCCCTGAATATGAAGTTTAGAAAGAAGTTTAGCAGGGAACTTTCACTGTAATTGTAACTTACTTTTTCCATTTCAAATATCTTTGATGTTTTTTCATGTTGATTTATACATACATGTCACATTTCACGTATTGCACTTCACCTATCTGAGCTTCCATTGAACGACAGACCGTATGAACTATTTCCAATTAAAGAGTTAAACTTTGAAAGAATTGAGTTTATTTTTCATAAATCAAGTTAAACGTTTTATTTTGGTTAGCATGTAGCAGGTGCTATGAACAGAGGGCACGTGAAGGGGGAGGCAATCTAGGAATTGACCGTAGACAGAAGTAAAGCCTATCATTTTATTCAGGAAAATCACAGGACTGGAACATTCAAGGCCTTCCCAGAACTGAACTTACAGGGTCTATACAGGACTGGCATCTTAATCTCTTACCAGAAAAGTGTTCTCAACAGCCATGACCATGAGAGTCTCCTTTCTTTGGGCTATAGACTCATTCCTCATTCCATCAGCTTTGTCCAGAAATGGGAGTCTCGTTTGGCTACCCCTTTCATGGATCATGGGAGGCCTGCAGTCAGGAATCTTCATTTCTGTGAGCCGGAGATTTAAGGAGATTGTCTCCTGGTTGGGGTGACAACAGCTGATGACTACCAAAAATAAGGACCCTGGCAAGTTGCCACTCCCACCATGGAGGTTTTCTCCCTCTATGAAGGAAAGCTGGGTATACACTTTCATGGAGAAGGAACATCTATAAATAGTTGCTAAGCCTTATGAAGAGTGATGAGAGATGCTCCAATAGATCGAGAATAATCAGAAGTAAATGAATGTTTCAAGAACTCAGTTGATCTCAGCAAGGCATGTCTTAAGGCAATGTGGAGATGTTACCAAGTAAAATTTCAGAAATTCTCTCTCCCCTTAGTTTTTAAAGGGACATTGTTGTAGCTCTTAGAAGACATTACTAGATGAAACAAAGACTCCTCTCTTAAGGAGTTGATATTCTATCAGCAGATACAGACAATTAACAAAAATAAATAAATTACACAGTTTGTTAGAAAGTGACAACTCCCAGGGACCAAAAAAGGAAAGAGAATAGAAACCCTATTTGTTCATTCTTTCTTTATTCTTTGATTTATTTAACTCAAGGAATGTTTATTTAGCCCCTGCTATATATCATGACACTGTAGACATAAAAGATACAAAGAAAAGGAAAGAATTTAGTCTCTTGGGGAAGACAGAGAAATATAGTCATTGTGATACAATGTAAGTGATGTGTTAAATAACAAAGGTCACTCTAGATGATACCAGTGATGGTGGTTCTGAAAGCAAAGTCATATTTCTGCACGACCTTTCAAAGTCCCTGTGAACCTGTGATCTTTTAGGTAAGTGTATATTTTATCCAACACTTTACACATAGTAATTGCTTAATAAATATTCATTTAATTGAATTAAATTGAATGTGTGCTTCAAGATGTTCCTGAAGTACAGATATTACCATTTAGTTCCTTAAAGGATATTTTCTTGAGGGTTCCAATTCTCAGTATCCATATTCCTTTCCTTTCCTTTCCTTTTCTTTTCTTTTCTTTTCTTTTCTTTTCTTTTCTTTTCTTTTCTTTTCTTTTCTTTTCTTTTCTTTTCTTTTCTTTTCTTTTTTTGAGACAGAGTCTCCCTCTGTGTCCTGGGCTACAGCACAGTGGCTGCGTCGTAGCTCATGGCAACCTCAAACTCCTGGGCTCAAGTGATCCTCCCAAGTAGCTGGGACTATAGGCGCACACCACCATGTCAGGCTAATTTTTCTATTTTTTGTAGAGACAGGGTTTTGCTGTTGCCCAGGCTGGTCTCAAACTCCTGACCTCAAGCAATCTTCCTGCCTCGACCTCCCAAAGTGCTAGGATTACAAGTGTGAGCCACTGCACCTAGCCTATCATCGCTTTAAAAATGGAGGAAATGCTACACTTGCCAAAGGTCACAGTAGCTAGCTAGTCTGGGTCTTAAACCCAGGTTCTTTTACTCTAGAGTCCATACACTTAATGACTGAGGTACCATCTTCTCTCTCCCTTCCTCCCTTCTTGCATCCTTTGATCCTTCTTTCCAACCAATGCCTTGCGTCTCATGGTGTACTATAATTTATATAACCATGCTTCTATCGGACCTGTAGTTGTCTCTCTTTTTTTACTACTTTTAAAAGCAAACATCTTGTCCTCCACCTTTGCTGATATGGGTTAGTGTGTCTGCAGGATAGGTTTCTGGAATAGGAATTGCTGGCATGTCCAAAATGGTACAAAAATGCTGTACATATTTCATTGCCAGGCACAGTGTTTAAGAATACTTTTGTTTTTCTAAATTGTCACTAATACAGGATATTTACAGTATATTATATTATCAGGATATTTCATTTTTCTAATCTGACAAATGAAAATGATCTCATTGTAATATACATTTCCCTGACTGCTCCTAAGATTTGAGTACTTTGCACATGCTTACTAAATATTTGTATATCTTCTACAAAATTTTTTCTTAGTTTTTGAATAGGATGGATAATTTTTTAAATAATTGATATAGAGACCTTTATATGTTACTAACATAACTAAATATTTTCTCCCAGTAACTGTCTTTCAACTTTGGTTTATAGTATAATTATTGATAGGTATTTTATATTTTTACCAAACCGTGTCTGTTAATCTACTTTGAGCAGGAATGATTTCCCTATCTGGCAACTGTGAGTCCTGTCATTGCCTCATTTCTTATTCATTGATGTCCAGAGCAGTTGAGAGTATAATCAGGGCTCTTTCTTGAGTTAACGCGAGTCTCTGTTCTTTGCAACCAAATACAACCTTAATTCAAGCAATATCTTTCTTTTAAAAATAAATCATATATTTTACTTTTTACTTTTTAAATGTCTTAGGAGCCTGTAGTCCCAGCTACTGGGGGGGGGGGGCTGAAGCAGAAGGATCCCTTGAGCCCAGGAGTTCTGGTCCAGCCTGGATAACATAGTCAGACCTCATTTGTAAAAAAATTAAAAATAAATGCCTGGGGAAATTTACAATACAGAAGAGCAATTAGAATGCAAAACCAGGAAGGTGTCAACACACTGAGTCAATACTACCACCTGTACTTATCTGCAGCAGCTTGTCTGCTAACTTTCTCAATGATACAGCACAAACAAGACTACAGCATGCAGCTGCACAAGTTATGTGCTGGTGGCAGTATTTGCAAAGACTACACTGTGAATGGTGTTCTTAGAGTTGTGCACTGCACAATCTGCACACCTTATGTGACAACCCAATGTACAAAGATCTTTAGCTCTTTGTGCTTTGTACTTGATACCATCCATCCACTGATGAAGGAAACGACAGAAAACTAACATAAAGTATCATAAGTAGTCCAGACCTAAGGCAATCCAAACCTAGAAGCATGATTCCTAACACAGAGCACTTTAGCATCTATGTAGGTAATACCGCACGTCAGAGACAGGAATTAGAACAGGGGTCTCTAAACGTGCCTGAGTTTTTTGTTTTTTGTCCTTTTACAAGAGACAGGGTCTCCCTACTTTGCTCAGGCTGGACTGCAGTGGCTGTCACAAATATGATCTCACTACTGATCAGCACAGGAGTATGAAACTGCTCCATTTCTGACCTGGGCTGATTCACCATCCTTAGGCAGCCTGGTGGTCCCCTGCTCCTGGGAGATGACCATATCGATGTGGACACCCGATCAACATAAAGAACCCAAGCCATCTTCCTGCCTCAGCCTCCAGAGTAGCAGGGACTACAGGCATGCACCACTCCTGGCAGATTTTGTAGCTATCATAGAACAATAGCAATACTTACAGCTATGTTCATAACTATATTCCAAACATCTACAGAAAGGTTAAATTTGCTTTATCTTGACTAAGCAGGGCTTGCTCTTAAGAAAAGAATTGTATTTTTGTTTTCAATTTTTACTTTTAGTCAATGAAGAGAGCACAAACCACTGAATAGAAAAATGGGCAAGGATGAGAAAGTCCTAGAGGCCAATAAACAATGAACAGAGGCATAAACTCACTACCAATCAAGAACAAAAAGCAAATGAAAATAAAATGAGGCAGCTTCCCTTTTTGTGATCAATTAGATTGACAAAATAAAAAAGATTGATATTACCCATGATGGTCAAGGGTAGGAGCAAAGGGGTGTCATAATATAATGCTCTGTAAGCTAACACAATGTTATGGAGAGAGAAATTAACAAATAACTATCGAAGTAAAAGAATATATATTATGAACATAGTTTACAGAAAATGTACAACAAATGACATAGACATGTGAAAATATTGTCAAACCTCATTCATAATAGGAGAAATACAAGTGAGAACTGCACCCCGGTACTATTTTTCACTTAATAAATTGGCAAAGATCCCAAAGTGTTATAACACACGATGTTGTTGAGGATGTCAGGAAGCAGGCTCTTTCTTTTGTGAATGTTCATTAC